CCAGTGCCGTAGTTTGGGTCTCCGTCGGCTGCACTCACCCTAATGGGACGATTGGATGCCTGGTATAGCTGAGCCTGGGATATCATCAATACTTGACACGAATGGATTGGCCTAACTGATCAACCCGCTGGGTGAAGATGTTCTCAGACCGAATCGATGCAATTACTTCATAGTGCATACACTACGTCCTGGCTCCAGGGACCGCTGCCTATGGTGATATGAGTTTACTCCATCCCATATTGCCCTAATGCGCCCCTGAGCTTGTACTTTCGTAGCTTCAATGTTCTGTCTCGGTCGCACCCAACACCCAACACCCAACACCAAGACCAAAGCATCAAACTTCTCACCCCTGCCTTTCCCGTTTTCCCCGGGTTGGTACTTTGTCCATCGTACCTTCCCCAAAGTCCCCTTCGCCCTGCCAGGTTAAACCGTCAATACCGACTTCCCCATTTACTCCATAGATACATATTTCACATTTCTCGCAATCCTTTCTCCCTTCTCCTATCTCTCTGTTTACTCTTCTCTTCGCTCTTCTCTATATATTACCTCCAATCCCCATCTTTGCGCCCTCATACCCCAAGACACTTTCGTCCGAACCGTGCCAAAAATCCTTAGCCTCTCTTATCCGTCCCCACCCACCACCCATCACATCAGAAGCAAATCAACCACTCCACTATACCTCGGTGTCTGTCGTCTCGGTCAATCGTCTTGGACTTATAAAATCCCATTTCGCCTCTCCCCAGCTGTAAGTGAAAAGCTGACTTTTGTTTTCATACATGGACCCCCAAAATTGCCACCCCTTGGTCTGGACCTAAAAACACTCGTTGCTAACATCGTCACCCTTCCGATAGCATCATCAAGCCTTCCCCCCTAGGACTCTCCCACAACCACACATACATAATGCCTGCTAGCCAAGTCGTATCACCCATCCCGATCCCTCCTCCCCGGAGGGAGAATCGCCTAGGAACCTCGGCTCACGATCTTTTCACGAGCTTGAATGCGACCCTGATTTCCAAGATTGATGAGCCCAACACCCTCAGGCGCTCCATCTTGGAGAACGACTACAGCGTACCTGCTCCACCACCTCCCAGCCCGGTCAGTTTTGCGAACCACTGGCCCGCAACGTTACGGCATTAAGCAGTTGGCGCTCTTCGCTGCAAGGGACCAAGGAATTCTTTGAGATGAGAGAAATATGCGCCTTCCATTCTCCCCGCACGCTACCCCTGGCGCCTTGCGCTTCGGCTGAGAAACCGAGGCTATTCTAGATGCCCCATGGGTTTGAAGGGCGAAGGATGCTGTGTTTTCTCATCGAATATTCCCTCAAAGGTTCCCCCCTTGCGCAATCGCACCGAAACCAAGCAAACAAAGAGCTTCATTTTCTGGGATTCATTTGAGCATGTATACTTTAAACAACGGGCGGAAGTCCCTCACAGGCTGAAATGCCTTTTCAAGAGTCGTATCGCATTCATGGGTTTTGAGGCGTAGGGATAATGGACGGGTTTCAAGGGAGTTGGTAGCATAGACTATTGGGAGAACTTTCCCTCGCTGGGCTTGCAGACTGGTATCTGGGTTCTTTTATTTTTCTTGCGAGTTTTGCTCGCTTTTTTGTTCTTTCCTTCCTTTGCTTGTCTTTTCCTTTGTTAATACATTTACTACTACATACTACCTCGAGAGGTCGGTCTGGAATTATTCGTGGTGAATCCTATTTCCCTGACTTTGAGCTTCATTAATACCTTCAATACAAAACTGTAACCGGATCTGCTCTGTTCCCAATACCGCGGTGTCATGCTACCCCAGTTTGATGCGCCGCTTCTCGCTTGTCGAGGAGAAATGAGACGATACCTTGCGACTTGCTCATCCCATGTACGAAGCATGCCGAGTCAATCCATTGTACCTCGGTAGAGGTCTGCATTAGACGGAATCTGGTGATGGAAGATGAACCCCAAGCTTGAGGTCTTTATCTGAAGCTTTGGACTACGCAAACATTGACGTACAACTGTCATAGGTTTGAAGATCATTAAAGAGCCACAATGCCGAAGCTGCCTCGGCAGGGCTTTTCTAGATGCTTCGGAATTTCTTGGCACTCGAGGGTCCCCAAATTCGGAAATTCGAATGGGGGCGACCGAAAAGGGGTTGAGGAAATAAAAATTGTTAGTGCAAGGCACTGACCTGGACAGGATGTGGAACTGGCATGGATGGCACGCTGAAACACCATGTCGTGGCACACCCAAATTTTTGGAGTGCGTGAACCACTCTACGCGTCGGACGCGTACGGACGCGCCAAACGCGTCCCTGGTCTGTGATTCAAAATTGCGGCATCCACCGCCTTGACTAGCCAACGCGATGTATTTCATCTTGAACCCCACGCTTTGAGAGTCAAAAAGCTCCTCAAGTCTAATCTCTGCATATTACTTCGTTGTGGTTGATTTTGTAATTATTGTGCGTTGCATCACGATACCCCTTGCGAACTCGTCCTTTTTCTTTTCCTTCGCTATCCCTCAACGACGCAACTACTCTCTGGAGAAAACTCTTCAGTCTGGTGGAAGGGGCTCCTGACGAGAAATTCTCCATCAGGAAGCTTCAGCTCAAGGGTCCTCACACCACAGCCTCTATCGGCATAAAGCATTCCGACCAAGGAAGCCGCCTTCACTCTCAACATGGCACGCCCTTCTAGACGCTCGCAGGTCGGCCCTGCTCTGACCTCGAAAACTCCTTCCATTACCGCCTTCACCCGGGTCTCGAAGGTAGCAGCCGCTGCCAACATCAAGCAGGAAAAGAAGCTTCTTTCGGAAGAATATGTCGCGACCGCTGGCTCCAGGAAGAGGAAGGTGGCAGTGGAAGAAGTCATTGAAGCGAAGGCTACCGTCGAAGTACGAATTGATTCGAAGCGGACCTGCGTGAGGGATGAGAATGCCTGCAACGCCAAGACTTCCGTGACTCCTTCTCTCTTCCAGGACCCGGAGAAGTTGAAGGCACAGAAGACCCACTCGAAGGCCAAATCCTCGGACAAGAGGCAGAAATCGACTAGCTCCAGCCACCGCGTCAGCAAGACCTCGACCACAAAGACGAAGAAGGCAGCGAAAGTCACGGGAACCGCGCGAATCGACGAACTTTTCCAGAAAGCCGAGGAGACGGCAGACGCGAAGAACGTACCCGAGCTCCCCGCCCACCTTGCCGAATTGGCGAGCCTGCACCGCGCCTTCCTCAAGATTATCACGATCCAGCTCGCCCACAATGGCATGAACGCTCCTATCGACGTGCGCGTCCTTTGTCCTAACATCTCGCGTGCCTGGGGCAAGCGTACCGTCACCGTCGAGGATATCCGGAGGTGCATCGCCATCGAAGACCACAATTCCGCGCAGAACCCCGAGACGGCGTCTCCGTTCATCATTTCCAGCTATGGTCGCAACAAGGTCTGCGTCGAGGTGGCTCCTCACCTCAATGGTGTCCCTATCCAGACGGATAAGCTTTGCAAGCAGTTCGAGGAAAATATTCGCGCTCTCGGAGCGGAACGCGCAGTGGACGAAATGTCCGAACTCGACTTCAACCTCGAGAGCTTGTCTCTGGCGGAATTGCCCCAGGCACCCATCGCCTCTCTCGGCTCTTCGACTGGCGTGAACCCCATGTTGGCGAAGGGTCATCGTGCTCTCACGGAACTCAAGAACGGCATCGTCGTCAAGCAGCAAGAGAAGGAGGCGAAGCTCCAAGCTGCTGCTACTCCTGCTCTGAACCCTGACGGCACGAAGATGAGCCTCCTCGACCGTATCCGCATGAAACAGCTCGCCAGGTCCCAGCTCCCCCTACCTCCCTCCGGTCCCGAGCTCCAGCGCCGTGCCGCCCTACAACGTGTTGAAGACGTGGCTGCTACGATTTCCATGCTGAGCCTTGCGAATCCTATGCCTCGCCTTGCGTTTTCTATGCCTGGCTTGTTGCAGAAGCTCAAGGACTCTCTGCGGATGCCCCTTTCGAGCGAAGAGGGTGCTACTTGCATCCGACTCATGGCCACCGAGGTCACCCCCGAGTGGATTCAAATCATCACCATCGGAGGCAAGGAGAATGTTGTTATTCAGAGGGCGTTCCAGCCCGTTGATAGGGTGATTAAGGAGCGAGTTACCAAGTTGTGTTCTTAGTTGCGGCGCGGATACAAGAGGCAAACCTTGCTTGTACATACAAGATAAAGCTTGTATTTTGACGTATTTTGCGAGAAAGGAGGATTACATACAGGAGGATGGGGAGAGCAAATACACACATACATACATACCCACTACACACACACACATCCCCCCAAGTTGAAGCAGTGCTTCAACTTGATTGATTCAGTCGTTGATTTCCACCCGAGTTGGAGGATTATCATTGGAGAATTGGGCGTTCGGTCGCATAACCCATGGCATTGGCGTTCGTTGTGCATTTTCAAGGTCAAAAAAGCATGAGGGACCATTGAACTGGTCCTCTGGGGTTCAGCATTAGTTAGTTTTATACGAAGTAGGTAGTATACCCTTAATAACCGTGTCACATGTTTGGTTCTCAACATCACTTCAAGTGAAACTCTTAATATCAGAAGTAGTTACAACACGAGTAGTCTTGACACCAGTAGGGCCAAATTCGCCTTCTATCCAGATGTAATAATCTATTGTGTCCGTTAAAAAACAACGTTCGAATATCAAAACCGCTGCCTTCCCAAGGCAAGCCGAACCCAGCAATGCCATGCCATGTAGATAAAAACTCAGGTCCTTCTGCGATGTTGTCCTGGATAGGTTGAGCCCACAGACAACACATGAACGAACCCGCTGCGTATATATAAAAAAGCAGAAGAAAAAGGAAACCCATATTGTAAACATGTCCACATCGCCATACCGAAGGAAGGGTCATTCCTCTTTTTCCACGTCCGAGTAGTCACCCTAGAAGAAAAAAATCCGATCCTCGCCTTTGCCTAAAGCGTCGTTGAAATGCCAATTTTTCCCTTTCATTTATTTTTTTTTTTGTTTCTTTTTTTGGTTATTTTACTTCTTCTTGGGGGCGAACTTGGGAGCGCCAATGTCGCTACCCCTCAGCTTAACGTTGAGCACCCTCTCCATGGCGGCGAGGACCTTCTGATCGGGGGCACCGGTGCCGCGCTCGAAGTTGGCGACGACTGTGGGGGTGGTGTTGCACTTGGTAGCGAGGTCCTTCTGGGACATCTTGGGCTCCATCTGGGATCGGGCCTTGGCGATGGCGTTGCCGACCTCCTTGCCGATGGTGTTGGGCTTGATGATGTCGTCAGAGCGGTCGACCTTGGTGAGGCGCTGGCCTTCGACGGCAGGCTTGGTGGTCTAGATTCGGAGTAAAAAAAAAAAAAAATGGTTAGCAGAGCGCAGAAGAAGGGACGGGAGGGAAAATAAGAAAACGGGAATTTTTCACATACAGCATTGCCTGTGGCGTACTTCTTCTCGGTCGCAACGATGGCACCCCTTCGCGCAGCGGCGTTGAGAGCGCTCTTGCCCCTCACGACGGTCTCGCGAGGGACAGGCTTGGGTCGAGGGGTATCCCAGTCATCCATTGTGTCGACTTGTTGTTTGTGTCTGCGTTGGCGAGTTTGGATTTTCAGCGAGATTATTTGGTGGAGGCGGTTGTGAGGTTGAGGAAGCGGTGTGGTAGATATAACAGGAATGAGCTGTCCTCTTTTTATCTCCGAAGTTCGGTGAGGTTGGGTTGTTGACTGGGGGAAGTTGAAAATAATGGGTGGAGGGAAGAGCAGAAAAAAAAAACGTTATTGATAAGGCACGAGGTGGGTGGGCGGTGTAAAGCTCTTATTAATAGAAATGGCGCCAAAGGCTGACAAGCTGACTGGTACAATTGTCAGTGACCCTTCCAGCGTTTTCATACACAATTGATAGGAGAGACACTCGTGGAATGTGATGGATTTAAAGCCAGTCCAGGCGATGGAGGGAGCCATCAGCTAGCGTGGTTGTACTTCAGCAGGGCGGGGATAGTCTTGAGTCAACCGGCGAAGCCATTGACCATGGATGATACACAGTGTACGGTGGGTCGCGGGGTTGCCGCCTGGTAGTTTAGCTGGGGAAAGTGCTTCGCCACTTCGATTAGATAAGCCATCCTCAGGAGTCTCGAACACTCTGCTCGAGAAGAGTGGAAAATCTATCGGTTGCTGGAGTGTGAGGCCAACCTCATTCCGTTGCGTGAAATTCGAGCTAAAGATTGACGATGATAATAAACTTGCTCTGCGAGAAGCCATTCAAAATTGTGTGGCTTACCTTTTCCAGGGATGTCGGGATGTTCCCAGGTCCATTGACTGGTTCTCTGATGGTCGAATCGACGGACGGTATTCATCACGAAGAATGAAACAGGGCACAAAGGGCAAAGGGGGAAAATGCTCCTTTCGACAATTATCTCAACCACCATTGGCCCCAGCGCCAGTCTTGCATTGTTAAAGTACACCAAACCCTCGACTGCTCGACAATGAAATCTTTCAATAATTCACACCCACCAAACACCTCAAAAACATTCATCACTTCATGTCGTTTACTTTTCTTCAGACCAATGGCCCAATCCCAGCTCGTCGATTATTCAGGCATGTGAGTGAACGGCTTCGCGAGATGCTCCTGGCAGAAGGGTAGCTTTCCGACGGTCCAGATTTCGGTATCCTATAGAAGAAGGTTCTGTCAGTAATCCATCCTTCTAACATTCCAGTCTCAATGCCTGCCAATGCCACCCTATACCGCCTGACCGAGCAGGTGCGGCGAAAGGAGAGATGATTTTGAGGGGTTAATTTGATTGATCATAGACTTACGGGCTTCAGATTCTTCTTTTGCTCGGAGTCGAGAGAACCGCCCTTGATGGCAATGATCTCGGGTGCCGCATCAGGGTCATGGGCGATGGGAGAACCGCACTCGCCGCAGAAAAGACGATGGACGGCTTTCCCAGAGGAACCCTTACCGCTCCACTTCTTGATGGGACCGGTGATGTTAACCTTGTCCTTGGGGAAGACGGCGACAAGAGCTAATGTAGAGACAAGTTCTCATGTTAGACACAAGTGTGTGGAAAGCTCAATTACGTCAGGTTCCTCTCGGTGTCTCACGCGGTGGACCTCGCGCGCTGGTGTCAACTTACAGTAGGTTGAGCCAGATTGGCGCTGGCAGTCATCGCAATGGTCGTAGCCAGTAATAATAGGCGCGTCGGCGTCGATGGTGTACTTCACCTGGCCGCAAAGACAGTGTCCGGAGTAGACCATGGTTAAGATGTTTGACTAACGACAGTAGATTGTGTGTATATATATTTATATATATATGGAGGGCTTGGAAAGTAAAGCAAGGTTAATTCTTTCGCAGATCGATGCTCAGTTAGAATACAGAAGTAATATGACGGAGCAGACTTGAGAGAAAGCAGTAAAACAGCAGGCGCAAGGCTCCCTTTTTATCCACCAAAAACTCTCCGCGGGTCGACCTGGTATTCTTCTCCAAGTATCAAGAATGTGCGACAAAACAGATCTTTCGTCCATCTTCTTATCCCTGTCGAGCTTAGAGTTAGTGTTAAGAAAACACACCTTCCCCAAGTGGGGGAAGCATGGAGGAGGGGCGCGCTGTAAGATGGCGGGGTAACTAGAAGTGTGCGAAGCTGCCATGCAAGCTTGGAAGGGGTGACGATATGTTTGCGTTGGGGAGGGGGGCGTGTAAGAGGAATAAGTAACGGGGCATCATGAACAAAAATAACTGCGGGGAATCAACCACGGTTGAAGAAGCGAGTGTTTCTGAAGTTTCTTTTTTATTCATTTCCCCCCCCTGCTTGTTGATCCCCAATTGAGCGAGCCACCCCAACCGGTTATCCTTGTTGTCCGCTCCGCTGACTTCGTATTAGATCTTTTTGTATTTGATATCATTGCAGAATTCCCAAGCCTAGGCTGGCGAGATAACAAGCGACCGACCTCAATAGGTCGGTTTTGAGCTGTCTTCTGACACTATAGGAACTAGGTCCAATAGTGTGCTGCCAACTTGCTTGTTCCATGGTTTCGGCTTACACCGTATATCAAATATCAAATATCAAGTATCGGTAAGGCTGCGTCGTAGCTCGTCGCTCTCGTCAATTGATACATCATGTATTCGCTCAAGCACGGCTACTTCACCCTCTTCCGGCTCGGCATGCCCCCCTGTGTATCTCGGTGCTCATTTGAGTTTAGACTCAGATCAGACGACACAGCTGGGATCGTAGGATTGATGCACCTCCGAAATAGCCCGTTGCTCGTATCTATCGTCCACCTGGCCTTTCCGTGCTTCGCCAGAAGCCTCCTTAAAATTGCAGATCGGCAGGGACGCTAGAACAAAGATCTACATGCAGTTTAGAGCTGTTTCAACTCCTCGCGTTTCTATCCCGGACACTCAACGTCTCCGCGGAACCGCCCTGCAGCGGGGACCCCAAGCTTCCTTGGGCCAAAGGGCTGCGAATTCCCCAGCTAGCCGCTCTCATTCCTGGAAATCCCTAGCTTCACTGTGAGATCGACGTCGAGTACCAGAGGCCACTGGTGCAGGGACTTCTTCGGTTTGTCAAGGTTGATGGTTCTGCGAACTGTCAATCACTCACCAAAAGAGTGGGATCCATTACCCGTATTCCTAGCTTCTCCGTGTTTTATAACATTGTTGGGTATCAGCAACCCCAGCCCGTCCCGCCACGGAGATAACTTCCGCCTGTCCCTCGTGTCTTTTTGGATCATACATACCCAAGGTCGGTCATGCCGAGGGAAAAATAAAATGGAGAATAAAATCTTTCTTTCTCTCCATCCCTTGATGGGAGATCAAACCCTTCGCGCCGGCGGAGGAGTATGGAGAGCTCGTATAAAGTAAAAAAAGCAAACAAAGAGCGAGGGCTTGGGGGAACGCCGGGACTTCTCCGATAATGCGGTGCAAATATCGAGGCCACTCCAAGTTCGAGCTGTTGCATTCGCAAAATTCGAAAAATTCAACGGCAGCGGCATAGATTTGTCATTGTGGATGTGTTGGAATGAGATTGTGACGTCGGGTTGTCTAGTGGGGGCGGGGTAGTTCTAGGAATATCTGTTGCCCGATCCCTGCGGCCTACACTACACTAGTGTACGCAAGTACACTACAGATGCGTGATAACATTGATATACTCTTGGAAATGGAGAAGCCAGTCCCATTCCTCGTTCTTGGAAGCGAAGGATATTCCCAATTGGCGCAGAGGCTGGAAGAGTTGTGTTGAGGTGGAGTGTCATGGTGCAGTAGCGCAGGTGTCGTTGGGCTGGAGAATTTGGAATTCTTTCGCGTCGAGCTAAAAGTCTTGGTGGGAGCGGAGAGGTGGGGTTTCGCTAGCGCAGAGTGAGCGGACCTTCCTCCGAAAGCTTGTTCTGAGCTCTTCGGTTGCACCACTACTGCAGGTGCCTCTCTGAAGATGCTTCCCAGGGCCTTCCTTCCCCCATGCTAGTAGTTTTACAAGGTAGACCCATGTCGTCACCGAGTGACAACCTCCTCCATCCCCAGACATCTCCACCTCACAGAACGCTCCCAATTCCTGCGCGTACCAAGGCCCGTAGTATGCAAGTACGGCGAAGTAACTTCTCGGCTACTAGTCCAGGTCTGGTTCAAATTTCCGCGGAGATTTGAACTGAGTAGCCCTTCTTGGCTACTTCTTATTGAAACACCTCGGAATTCCAACTGAAAATGATACATGCTGTTATCATTTCTCACGTACGACGAAGCACAAGCCGCTTCATCCCCTTGGGATCGGAATGGCGTGGTTCTTCACCATCGTCTAGGATTCCAAATAAATCACAAAAGCAAATTCCAGGAAATTCATACGCCCTTACTTCCACTAGAAATCAAATTCTTATATCGTCGACACTATCTGGCGCACTTCAGACACCACCATCGTGACAAAAGGATACATCCCAGTTGCCACAAACCACGCCAGCCCGGCCCTCAATATAAAGCCTTCAAGCCAGAGCACGCCCAGACTCCCGAGGCCCATGTACTCCGCCAAGAATATCCTAGCGACAGCGGATCTATACTGCCTTCGCGTCTCGGCCGTTGCTTTGGTAAAGACATACCCATCCATGGATGACGGTCGAAAGTCACGGATATCCACAATCGTCTGGTTAGTTGGTTCGGACTTCGGCTTGTCGCTCGATCGTAAGGGCCGCTCAATACGATCCGGCCGCCGGCGGAGATGCCAGATAATTCTGAGGTAGAGGTAGTCGATCGGATTACCAACCCGCACAGGCGCCGGCGGCTTTTTGAGCACAAGGCTCGGCAACAAGTCTGGGTTAGATATAGATATGGTGCAGCTTTCCCTAAACTCGTTGAAAATAGCTTCGAAATCGTGTGCGTAGTGGACAAACCGGGTGTAAAACACGGGCGTGAGTACTTTAAATTCCAATTCACGGGTTTCCTTCGATCCATCCTTCGCCGGAGGAGATACCATGTTCTCCGTCGGAGCACCCACACCGCTGGGTACGTATTTTACCACGAGAGCAGTGGTAGATTGCTGTACAAGATAACGCAAATATTCCCTAAATATGCCTTCTAACTCCTTCTCAACGCTATCGGCTCGCCTACCAAGGCTAGTGCTCAGAGGTTCAGGCCGATACCAAACATGCAGTTTGCGTGCGAACCACAGCATCGCTGCCTCCTTGACGATGCGAGGATACGTCGCGAAGCCGATCCAACCCCAGCCAAGTAGCAGCGTAAGTTTCTCAAGCACACTCATCTTCGCGGGGTTCAATGGTTCACGCAATGAAAATAGGCGCGCTATTAGCTTCGCGTGCCCTTTGGAAGAGGATAGAGTGATGGTGGTATCGAGACTACGGAAGCTCTGGAAGCCTTGCCCGAGAGGGTCACTGGCGACGATAGAGTAGTGACCCTTGCGAGAGTTGAACGGCGAGACGTGGAAGTCCTTAGTTACTCGATTCCGAATCTTCAATGGCTGTGACGACGAGACGCTGTCATCTATGTTGCCGCCCGGTAGCTCCAGGCTCGGGGATGCTTCATCCCGAGAAACCAAGTAGACGCGACGCTCGTCGAAGGTGTTGTTAACCTCACATATAACAGCGCCAAGGGATTTTCCTTCGTCATATAGATACCAGAATGACACTGGATTAAACGAATATCCTAATATTCGCGGGGCTGTAACCAGATATACGTATGGATACTTGCTCCCATCAACACCCTACACGGAATCCAAGATCAGTGCCGTCCGTTCAGCTCGCAGGTCTTACACGTCCACCTGCTTACCTCTGACTCCAAATAAACGTCCAGCTTCTCCCTAAGATCCATTCCTGCTCCCCCGCGCTGGAGGTGATCTTCAGGGTTCACTTCAAACCAGGTCATCTGCCTTGCGCCGCTAGGAACAAGTCGCGCTAGCTTATTTGGCACCCTCGGCATACCGGCCGATAGCATCCCGCCTACTTGACCTTTCCAAGAGACCGGGATCCCCGCCACCAGGTAGGAATAGCTGAAGCCATGCTTCTTGGGGAATACTCTCCGGTGCGTGGTCTTGCATTTGAGAAGAACAGGTCGGCCGCAATCCGTGGGGCCGGCCTCGGTGTGATCCAGCAGGAGGGCCAGGAACCGTAAGGGTTGAAACAGGACGAAGACCGCCCCGATAATCAAGGCAGGGAGGAGAGGAAGGATGAGCTCGTAGACGCAAATTGTGATGTCTTTGTGTTTCCAGGCGAGAGAGCCCGCAAGCAGGAACCAGTCCAGCTGGGTTCCGAAAAGGGCTTGGCCGGTTAAGAAGACAGGCCAGCAGTTCTCGATGACCGCGCCGAGTATCAAAATGGCCGCCATCTACGGTTTACGCGATCAGGCCCACGAAATGGGCCGCAATTGAGAAAAGAAAGGGGATTATTGAAAACACGAAATGATATTTGGAACATAGGGATAAGAATACCCCGCCGCATTCTTTCCGTGGAGACGCTGCGTTTCGCCTACAAGGAGGTATCAAAATCTCGAGCCCGGACAGACTTGAGAACCAACAAGGGGCCCCCCTGTCTGAGCCATAGAAAGGGACCGGGCTCGGCTCGGATGCTCTTTAGCCGTCAGTGCGAAGCGCAAAATGTTCGTTTTGCGACGCTACAACACTGACCTCTTCCTTTTTGGACCGGCCAGATCCGCCAGCGGTGCTCTTGTCCCTCGTTTTTCAGTTCTGGAACTGCGCTTCTGGAGTGGTGCGTTTTCTTCTCGAGCTTCCCCATTTTCTTTTCTTACCTGTTGTTGACTTTTTCCTCTTGGGTATGTATTCTTCAATTGAAACCCCGAGGCTCGTGCCTAGACCGAAGTGAAATTAAAACAATTCGACAATTAACAAGACGGTGAATGCTAATGGCAATGGTATAATATAGAACCAGCCTCCGTGTAAGTCGACGAGATATATCGAGAACAGCGTACATCGTACGAAACCACGATTTGTTAACAGGCGACTTATTTTCCCAAGCTACCTACTACTGAAGCAGGAATCGAGCTAGCATGATGATGTGGTGCGAGAAAGAAACCGGTAACCGTATACACAAGAATGACCCATCATGATACGCCCGCCCCCGAATCGCTCCAACCTGACTTGAGTAGAGCATGAACGACATTTGCTCGGCCTTATTGCCAATTTGGAGATGAGAAACAACTTCCCGTCGCCTCAAGCCATGGAAGGGAAAGGCATCAGGAAGAAATATAAACAAGTGTGAAGTAAAAATCTCTCAGCTTCTCCGTCAATCCATTAGACAACCACGGCCATTGCAGCCTCCTATATCAACTACTGTATGGGTATGATGGAACAAGCAGACAACGTCAATGGAAACCCCCGGGTCATCATTAAAAAGAGCGGAAAGACGCTACCTAATTGAATTGCAGCACCGACGCCTTTCGAGAAAGAGAGGGTGTATAAGTAAGTACATTGAAGATTGAAAAGGGAGAGGGGAGGGAACAAAAGAAAAAAAGAGAACGTGAAGTCAGATAGTGGAGGTTACGGTGAAAGCGAGCGAGGAAGTCATCGAGGCATCCATGCTCCATGCCTCATCGTCAAAACTCCTGCAGCATGGCTCTCCTCTTCGGCTTCGGAGATGTGCTCCAAAGAATCGTTCTGATGCAAAACGTAACAATCGGAGGTGTTTCTCTCCCTCCATATGCGAACAAAATCGGATCCGAGACGTATCACCGCGAAAGGAAAGCAAAAAATGTTCTGAATCTTGCTCTATCGTGCTGCCATCATAGGAGCACCGCAGCTGCGAGAGTACCGAAAGAGAGGCTCAGAAGCGAGGTGAAACCGACGTGGTTCGCCACGGCTGCGCTCCCAGATTGGGAAACGTTACCAGTCCCGACGGCGCCTTGTCGCTGGCCGCTAGGCAGAGTAGGGCTCGGCGTAGCGGTCGTAATGGGACCTGCTGTCGCAAGACCACCGGCAAGACTTACCGTCGCCGCGGCGCCGGTGACCTTTCCGAGACCTTGAGGCCCGCTCGCTGTGTAGTACAGCCCAATATCCGAGTTACCTGGATAAAGATCCGACTTGACAGTAGCGCCAGTGGTCACACGGGACGCCGTAGATTCCACTTGTGCGAAGAGAGACCGGAAGGGCGCGGTAGGCGTGCCGGTGCACAGTTGCTCCGATGCGCTGGAGAGGACGTTGCTGTAAAAGATCTGGTCCCGCTCGCTCCTTAATCCGTGGATGAAGAGACACTGTTGGCATGCGTGCCACTCGGGGAAGAAGCTGCCTTTGCACATGCATTGCGCGTGGCCGTCGAAGTGGATGGGTTCGCTGCCCATGGGCCAGCACATGGTCTCGATGTACTCGATGTGGGCGCAGGGAGGGATGGGATCGTGAGGGGCCGGGATCGCTGGATTGCAGATCGAGGCGTCGAGGTTGGCTTGGCGGCGCTGGATGGGGGTATTGGGACTGGAGTCGATTGCGATAGCGAGGCATGCTGGGAGGATGGCTGCTAGTGCAGCGAGGGTTTGGGATGTTGATCGCCTCATCTTGGACCAGTCTCCGGACGGTAGGAAGCTTCAACCGGAGACCTTTATGCTCCTGAATATCTGCTCAACTCGGCCTTCGAGAACGAGAGTTCTTGGGCTTTGTTTCTTAATGCCAAAACAACCTCGTGTGGGTTCTTCTTTCGAACAATTCTTCTCCCGTCAAAACCCCCTCTTCCCTTGGCAGATATTGAAAACGGTGGCAAAAAAACCTGATGGAGTTGCCGGGAACAGGAATAAAGGGTTCGCAGGACGGCGGCTCCAGCGGGTCAAGGCTGTCGATTCCAGAGCAAAGAGCTAAACAAGCAGGAATATCGACCGGGTTGGTGATAAGCTGTTCTCGAGATCTCAACAAGGTACCAAGGCTGGACCCGAACTATTGAGAAGGGTGTTCGTCGATAACAAGAACAAAAATCGTCCGCATGACTGTGACTTAGTGTCCAGATCCCGAGGAATGAGGCGAGAAATTATACGCAATGCGAGCGATAGATGGTCTCTAGCTTGAGCTCTCGGGGTAATGAATCGGCAAGAGTGGTCTTGACCGAGCAGCTTGTAACGAAAGAAACTCACGAAAAGGGTAAACGATGATCGGAAAGCTATGGAAGAGGAAACACGGTCCTTCGTGGGATCCACAGAACTGAGTGTGGTCGTCTATTTCAAAAGAAGACTAGAGAGGAAAAACGGGAAGCGGCGGAAGTTGAGGGGGGATGAGCGGTCAAGCAACACGATGCATGAGAAACACGGTGACGAGAAACATTTCGTCGGCGAACATCATCTAACCATATATATTGGCAAGAGTACAAAACTACGCTCGGTTGCGGTCCATTGGGAAGGTGTATCAACACGAGAGGCCGAATCGTAGGCGTACGAAAAACAGCAAGGCGGCGGGGGAGCCAAGAGACGGACGAACCACACACACATTTCTTAGGCCTTTTCTCACGATGTAAGGAAGAAAGAGGCAAGAGAGAGGGAGGCAAAAAAGAGAGAGGGTGTGGGTGTAGCAAAAGCCCACACAATGACAACAAAGTCTTCAGGCGTGGAAGATCGTGTATAAAGTAAAGTGCGGCTTCTTGGCCGTGGGAGTTTTCCCCGCGCGTGTCGGCTAATGGGTGATTTCGAAAGCCAAATTCCATAGTAGTCGCATAGTGGCTGTAGTGAGAGAACACACAGGAACAACTGGAGGGCTAATAGGACAATCGTATTATTAGCAGCACACCCTTTACGAGGACGGATGAAGACGGGATGGGGGCGTGGTGACTAGACAGTAAACCGCTGTGCACTTTACGTGCGTGAGACCAAATAGAAGGAGAGAATAAGAGGGTGCTGCCGGTCCTCCCGCATCCTTTTCATGCCATCGCCTGGAGACTGTTTGACGAGAGTGGGCTCTCATGTGTGAGTGGCATGTCGTTGGTGCCGTTGCCGTTGGTGTCGTTGGTGCCGGCCACGCGGACGTTGTTCATCAAGACAGTCGGAGACAAATCGGTTCGGTCGGCTCTTGCCTGCCAGGCTGGGGAACAGCCAAGCATCCACCACCACTTACATGACTTACACCACCACCCATATCCTACGTTGGTGTAGGCGTGGAACCGGCTTGGCACTCTGTGTCGCACGCGTATGTGGAGAATGGTGTCTGTTTCATCAACGGAGAAAGCCCCAGCCCTTGAGCTGATCGGAACTAGATCCATCTTGGCTTGAGGGACCAAGAGTTCGGGAGGAGGGGAGACCTAATATCCAATGTTCTAATCCTTGATAACGGGAAGGGTAGTGTATGTATGTAGAGATCATTGAAGGGTAGGCGGTCGGAGAAATGGTACGCTCGCAACATGCGATAGTCCCCAGAACAAGGACCGGTCTCCGGAATGCAGCCTGGATAGGCTAGATTTGGGAACTGAGAGGCGCTAACCAAAAGCCGGGGAAAATATGTGCTGACGTGGAGTGCAAATCTATCTGAGAGAGCAAGGGTAGCCACAAAGTATGGTTCTCTAATGAATACTCGCCTGAAACCTTAGAAGCATGGAATATTGCCAGCTTGCCAGTTGTGATCACCCACCACCTGTTCTCAGCAGATCCAAAACATCAAGTTCCCTCCAAAGGATCAATTCATGGTGTCCACTAGCGAAACTCGGAGGAAACCTCAGGCGACCTCAGTTGAGGGATACCACCAGCCTAGTATCAATGACACCCGTGTTAGCCTTACCATTCGCTGGATAGCTTTTTCGGAGGACTTCAAATGTACAGATACGCTCACCTCCATCCCGGATCTTTAATGATGAGAGCAACACCGAAGCACAAAGTTCACGTCGGTTGATCTTTTCCCTTGTCTCTTTGCCTCGTCTCCTCAAAACAACACTCAGTTCACTCAGTTGGGGCCTTGTGTTCTTGAGGGTAACGGAACGGAAGAGATGGATGAAGAGATGGACGCAGGTGCACGAGATGTCTTGGCTGACTTCACCAGGCAGAAAAAGCTTCTTCAGCAATTCACCCAATTGGCCATCCATCAATACGGGTCTTCTGCAACAGTTCGCTCTGTGCCCTTTATTCCCGCAGGTGCGGACTGGCAGGCAGGATAGGCAGAGCAAGTATATTATCCCTCGGCACCATGGCGAAAGAAATAGACAAAAGGTAAATCCTGGCGAGCACTGGCTGGCCCAGACGCGAGTGTGGGAGTGACCGGCTACTGGTAACTGACCAGCATCGCGCATGGAGTATAAGTCTGGTCACGTCTGGGGCAGTTGCAGTTGTGAAGTAAAGGACACCCGGATTAAGGAAGACCGCACACGCCCATGCCAAGAGGCGAAGGGGACTGGCTGAAATGGGGAAACAGACCAAACCCGTAATAAGTTAGCGAGGCGGAACATATCCAGCATATACAGCATAGTAATGAAGAAGTCCAATGTAAACGAGGTACTTCCCACTCACGCATCATCCCAAGACTCGACTCGGGTGTCGAATTAACGAGCGGAAGATTGACGGATATATTTTATATTTGCCTCGAGTTCCGTTCTCGAGAGCTCTTTGGGCTTTGCGTCGTTTCGTGAATTGGCTCAGAAATCGCACCAACCAGAATTGATGCGGGGAAGGACGACGGGCAGAGGGTGAAGGTCCCGTCTGGTTTGCTCTTCTTTTCCTTTTATTAGTATTATTACTTCCTTTCCTTTTTCTTTCGTCGATTTTCTCTTCTTCTTTTCTTTTCTTCCCCTTCAAGTGTATGCTTTATTGGAGGGAGAGGAAGGGGGGCCACTCTCAAAAAGATGCCGACTTCGAAGAAGTTCTACTCGTTTCGGAATCCATGGGAGATCTGGCCTGGTTTGGCCTTACGTGAAGAAGGATCTGATCCTGGACCAGATAGACTGTGCCGCCGTGTTGGATTCCTCTTTCAGCCCCGGACTTCTCTTTCCGGTGCTCCGTCAATCTTGACCGAAAAATGGCCTTGATATCCCCCACACATTCTCTCACTCTCTATTGTAGTGTTGTGTAGCCCATAATCCTCCGGCACATGACTATAGGAACGCGCGTTTTCAGATGGCCGGGAAAGCCTAGCCCTATGCCAGTTTGTCGAACTCACCGCCGCTGACGGCTTGGCTGGCGCTGACCGGAGTGCCAAGCGTCTTCGAGAAGCCGATTTTCTTCCGTCTTCTTTCTCTCCTCGCCTCATATTGATAGAACCCGGTCTAGAAGATGAGCATGGGGAAGACATTAATATGGTCATAAGGGCCCCCACATGAAACCGCGTTTTCTATATATGCCCCTAAAACTGGGCTTCTCTATTCTTCGTACAGATTTGTTTCTTAAACCCCCGAAACCACAATCCGGATCTCGTGCCGAGACGAGTCTTGTCCTTCTTCCTTTCCACCACCGAAGCTCCTAGTTCTGCTGCCATATAGATAAAGAGCTCGCCTTGTGCAAGTGCCGGCCGGGATCAGCTCGCCCTTATCTCGGCAACACTTGGAGTCCGTTTTTCGTTGACGCGCCAAGAAGCCTTCTTCCAAGGTTTTCGAAAGCCCGAGCAATGAAAATGAAATACAGCGGCATCAGAATATAATACGCGAAACGTTGCAATCCATCAGTTGTAACGTGAAAAAAAAAGAACAAAGAAGAAAAAAAAAGAGAAAAAAAAGAGAAAAAAAAAAGGGTCTTGGAGACTGGGTCTTTTCATGACGAATAGCGATGAACGAGCAAGGAGGAGATTCCTTTTAATCATCCTCCGAAATCATCATTTCAGTTTGAAGCTTAGGGGAGACCTCAAAATAATGGCATTGGTGTAGGTTATATATATCCCTAGAAGAAATAGTTATAACAGTTAAAGACACAGATCTAGTATTGACAAGTGATATGAGACCGACCATGCAACGCCGTACCCTTAAAGATGCCGTTAACGCCATCCACAACTCTCCAACTGGCCCTCGAGGAGGTGAAGCCCCGAGAAAACAAGTCTAATGCTATTGCCAGGTATATATCTCTCACATCTTGAAACCATGGACCACATCATTCAGAGACACAGAAGCCCCGTTCTACTCAATGTGCTCATAGCTGGGACCCCATTAGATGAGGTACAGGGCCCCTAGCAGGCTGATAACGCCTGCTATGGCAGAGAGGGACCGAGACTTCGCAGGTGCTGAGGAGTCTGGTGCTTGCTTCTGAACCTGGCTCGTTTCGGTGGGTGACGCGAGAGTGCAGCTCGCTGTTCCGCATGAATACCCATCCGGACAACAGCCCGCCACTGGGCCACCTTCATCTCCACACATGAACCATCCACTTGCGCAGGTTGCCGAAGCCTCGTTCGGCATGTCGGCCACAGGTACGGCAATCGTGACGCCATTCGTAATGATGGTCGTCATAGGGGTAGGCGGACAAGAGGTCTCTTTGCAGTCGCGGCCGGTCTGGCAACAGCCACCGCCGGCCCGCGCAAGGCAAGCGTAGTAACCGGTGGGACAGAAATCCCCCTGAGGAGCAGTGGTTTCCGGCTCGTCAGATTCGCTAAGGGTTGGCCGGAATGGGGCGCCAACACCAGCGCTGCTGGATTCAGACTCGGTTACAACATGAGTGGTCGTTTTGGTGACGGGATCGGGTTTGTTGGTGATAGTAGTCACGATCGTGACTATTACGGTCGATGGAGAACCGTCAACTATTGTTGTGGATGTCGTTGTAATAGTAGTCGGTTCGGCGGACCCCGAATTGGATGGGGGAGGAAGAACACCTAAATCGTACAGAGTTAGCTGTCATCGCTTTAGCACCACCCAAACGCGGGATTTGTTACTTACATCCGAGGCCCTTGCAGATGTATCCAGCAATACAACAGCCACCACCGAGATCAGCAGGGCATGTAACCGCAGTGGCAGGGCATGCACCGACACCGCCGCTGCAATCTATGCCCTGCGGACAGCATGCGACGTTGCCTACTGTTGAGTCCTCTACTTTCACACACTCCTCTGCTTCAAAGCAGCATTTATTGGGGAACCCAATCTCTGAGCAGCTTTTCATGTTTGAAGGACATGATTCTCTCTTCTGGAGAAGCCTCAATACCTCTGCCGCTCTTCGGAAAGCATTCTGCTCCTCCTCGTGCGCCTTGAAAACGGGCCTGAAGGAAACCGCCCCATCACTCCTCCTGAGCAACTCTCCTTCTCGATCTAAAAGTGCAGCCGCGGCGGCTTCTCTAGGAGACAATGGTATTTCGTCGTACGTGTAAGTTGGGCTGAATGCAACGTACTCGGGGAAGAACTTGGCGCCGCTGTCGGGGGGCATCTTTCGGATGGCGGTGGGGATCTGATCCGGGCCTTGGGCAGTGACCTGAGATACAACTAGGAGTAGTAGGGCTGGGGGTAGCCCCAGCAATTTTTTGTATAAATTCATTCTGAAAGAATTTCCTGGTTAGGACCCAATGTCGTGAGATCAGGTGTAGAGTGTTGGGCGAAGGTGAATATTGGACAGTCCGGATGTCAAGATGGGGGAGGGCGGAGAATTGAAGTTGGCCGTCTCATTGTGGTTGCTGTGGCGGGCCAAGGAGCTGAAGTAAACAAAAGTGACCTCACTCCAATACGAAGTATCTTGTACCAAAGAATGCGGTGGGGCATTTCTGCTATGACTAATCACCACTACCAACTTAACTTGGAAGAATTCCGATAAAGAGAAAGAAAAAAAAAAAAAAAAGAGAGAGAGAGCTATGAGTGCTTGAAGTCATTTGAAACTTTGATATCTCCTTTATTTTTCGAGATTTTCTTTTATGAAAATTTACACTGGGGCGGGTTCTATATATCTAGCGAAGATTAGAAAGGGGAAAAAAAAAGAAAGAATTTATCAAACTGACGACCCCGACAGGATTCGAACCTGCAATCTTTAGAGGATTTCTATCCGAAATCTAACGCCTTACCATTAGGCCACAAGGCCAGCAAGTATCGATTAATACCTCTAATTCGTTCCAAGAGTCTTCGATTGCAGATCGAGTGGGTTCTTCAGTCGAGCCTAACGAATTCAGAAACTAGCCGAATGCGACCAAGTGCTAAGTGTGCCAAGCGGATGGTGATGAAGATGAATTCGAGGGAAGACAGCTCCGGAAGTGTTTCTTGACCTTGGCAGACGCCGATGGCACCGTGGATACTCGCCAAGCTCACATAGCATGGATTAATTCGTTTCATCTCGTCTATACAAAGATATACAAAGAAGATTCTATCTAGTAGTACATCTATTATACACTATATCATACATTCGGGGTTCTACCTGTCTATCCAGTATCCTAGAAGAGTCCTTCCTCTGTCTCCTCCTTTGTTTTGTCTTGATCAGCATCCTTTATGTCTTCCTTCTGTTCTTCTACGGCCTCGCTGCTGCTCTGGGCCTGCGTCGCTGCCTCTCCTTTCTCTGGCTGCCGAAGTTTCAGAAATGCGTTACAGAGGACTCCTCCAGCGACGCTGACATTCAGGGAGTCCACTGACGACTTCGAGGTGGTTCCTGGTATGGAAACCTCGAAGTCCGACTCGCGCCGAAGCGCCCAGGGCAGTCCTTGACCCTCGCTACCGAGTATCAAGATGCACGGAGCTTCACTTAGAGGATTCTGTTTCTCAACTTGCTCAAGGGTGACCTTCCTTGGGTCCTTCCGCGACGTGAGCGGCGCGGCGGCGTACGAACGCCAGCCTGCAGCTTTCGAAGCGGTGATGAAATCAATGGCAGAGTCCACGGTAAAAAGAGGAATCTCCTCCACCGCTCCCGCGGAAGCCTTCAGAACCACGGGCGTGAGACCCGACGAGCCCTGTTTTGTCATGGCCACGGCGCTCACACCTAGGAATCGGGCCGTCCTAAGAAGGGCCCCGACATTACCAGGGTCAAGCACCTCGTTCAGGAGTAATACCAAGGGCTTTTGTAGCTTTCGGTTTTCGTAATGGACGATTGTATTTGTTCCGTTAATCGCCTCCTCTTCCGCTGATTGCCTGCCCACCGTGACGGCAAAAGCAGGCCTCCATGGATTCCCGATCAAAGGACCGAGTGAAGAAATTGGTAACTGGGGAAGGGGCGAAGCTTCCAGGACGTAGCCATTATGCGGTCTTCCGCCGCTCATCTTATCCATCAGAGCCTTTCCAGCATCTTTGACAAGGGTGACTGGCACCCGGTTCTTCTTCACCAAGGCTTTGAGTGACTCGGAGTCTTGCTCGCGCCTCTCACCTTCCAAGATGTACAGGTTGTAGAATTTGCGCTTGCCCATCGCTAACGCAGCCTTGACGACTGACTTTCCAAAGAGAAACTGCGAGGCGGCGGTAGTGTATTTGACAGATATGGGATGCATGGTCTTCTTTGATTCTCTGCGCTTGGAGCTCGACTCGAGGTCATCGTTGGCATCTCCGACCTCTACTCGAGCTCTCGATGTATGGCGCTCCTCCGGCTGATGTCTCCTTCGGTCTGATACAGCATCTCCGCGACCGCTATGCCTCGAACTCTGGGAGGAGGCTTCTGCACGTTGACCACGTTGTGACGCCCTTACCCTAGCCTCCTCGTGGGATCGTTGGTTCGCAGCGAGGATCGAATCGGCCTTATCTTTCATGTCACCAAATTTCATCCGATATACAAGGCTATTCTTGCCAAAGGAGGATGCCGGGTCGTGAAATCGCTTTCGTCGGGTTTGTCTGCCGGTCGAGAATTCGGTATGTTCACCAGCGATGGCCGCACGAACATCTTTTGCGCTTGGGGTGGTGCTCAACCTGTCTCGGGCGTCGGATCCCCGTCGGCCATACGGAGTAGGTCTTGGCCTCCTTTTATCTGCCCTCGCGGCTCGAGTTCGGTGCGCACCGGGATCGGACCGATGGATGCCTCGATGAATGGCAGAAAGAGAGGAAGCGAAAGCGGCATTTCGAGGACGGTATAGGAGTCGACCATGGAAGGAGAGACGGGACGCGCCCGGAGCCGTGAGTCGGAGAGTTGATATCATTGCATGGGCGCAGGATAAGACAATTTGGGCCCGATGCTCACCGGCTGACAGATGAAGGCGGGTTTGCTTGAAGAGCCTCGCACAGACGAAGGCTTCTGCAAAGAAGGTTTCCAACTTCTTTCTTTGCTCCTTCGTTTTTTCCTTCTAGAATTCCTTCCGTTTTCTGTAATGGTTCGCTCGAATTCTTCCTAAAAGCTCAAGAAAAAAAATTATCCTGGGCGATGAACTTTGGAGGTAATAGGGAGGTGGATGATCAAAGTGTTCTTGCCTCCTTCCCAAAAAAAAATTAAGGTTCGGTTTTTAGTCTCGGACTGTCGCAGCAGGTGCGCCCCACGCCACTTACCCATATTTGCTCCACAGGTGTAACGCGTCTGGCAATTAATTGAACTGGATACTGACATCTTCGACGACTTCACCTCTCACTTTCTTCTCTCTACCAAACGCTCTTTTCCTTCCACACCTCCAAATTTCCCGACGTCTTGTGGCCTTTGAGAACAGCCTTCGCTTTGTCAATACAGTCGAATCATTGAATTTCCACTGGTGCATGAGGATACCTGAGACCCAAGCAACAATCTCCGAGCTTCCCTCGATGTGGCAGCGGCCATGGATCCAGACTCAGATGCGCCGGAAAGCTTGAGGAGCAGCACGCCAGACGACCAGACGAGAGAATCGGTGATATCTGCTGCCTCGGAATCTGAGGATGCGCCTTCCCCTCCTACGCGACGTGTTCGGATTGAGGTCGTTATTCCCGCCCATGCGCCTTCCGCCTTCGATGAATACGTCGACCTTCAGAGCAAGGTCGTTGAACGTGTTGTCGAAGAGGTTTCTGCGCCAGAGGGAGGTGATCTATGGTACCAGGTTGAGTTCCGAGACGGACGCCATAATATTGTGAGTGATCGGATTCTCCGCTTGATTCTCTACGTGCTTAGTTGGATTTTGGCTTCTAATCGCTAGCCCATGTTACATAGGTGTCTTTCGACGAACTTATCCAGCTAGAAGGAGGCGCAGAAGCACTCAACTCGTGCCAATACGGCCCAAACTCGGAGACAACCCATCGACCGGCAAAAAGAAGGCGGGTTTCTCACGATCTCTACGAGTCTGACGAAGAGGGGTTGGACAGGATGAACATTGAAGAATCCGAAGATGAAGAGGACGAGGATGGTCCCGCGGTTGACGAGAGTGACGAAGACGAAGAACCCCGAAGCAGGCACGTGCGCCGTTCTTCTAGACGTGCCCTTCGACCTAAACAACCGGTTTCTTACAAACTTGACCATTGGCTCGTTGACGGCGGAAGGAGTGTGGAAGAGCCGCGGCAACTGCGACCTCGCCGGTTGACCAGTCTAGTTCGCTCAAAGAACGGCGATGAAGACGTTGATGAGCTGGCAGGAGAGCCCCCCGCCCTTCAGTCCTCAAGCGATGACGATGACGATTTCCAGTTGGTGAGGTCTGATCTCACTCCCGCTCCGAAGGGAAGAAGTCGAAGGAGGAAGAAACACCGGCGCCTAAGGGCCAGAGCATCTGTAGCTATGTCCACACGCTCTCGTGGCTCTTCAATCGAGTTCGAACGTCCTCGCCGGTCAGGCAGGTCTACTCGAAACACCAAAGTGATGACTGATTCAGCTCCAATGGACCTCGACTCTTTTTACGTCTCGGATGATAAGGCACCGGGCGCTCCAAAAGCCGTTACCATCAAGGAGATCTTTAAGCCTCTTCCAAGTACCTCCGAATTTGTCCAGTATCACATGTCCGTATGCGATGTATGTAACCAGCGCGCATCGCCGAAGAGAGGCGGCCTGATTCACTGCCAAGGCTGCACCCTAAGTTTCCACAAGATGTGCATTGGTATCCGGCAGGTCAGAGAACACGTCGTGACGAAAGTGGCAGAGGACAGCTTTGTTATCCAATGCAAGTTCTGCGTCGGCCGTGTCCGGGCAAAGGAGAACACCGCCCGGCAGAGCATGTGTCAAGCCTGCCGCCAGTTTGGTCTCTCATGCGCCCCATTTTCAGAGAAGAAAACCGCCAGACAGGAAGAAGCCTTACGGCAACAGAATGGAGGTGTTGATCCCGTCACCGATGTTGCACCATCTCTGATTAACAATGCTGACAACGTCCTCTTTCGGTGCATTGGTTGCCGGCGTCCCTGGCACATCGAGCATTTGCCAACCACTCGAGCCCTGGAGTCTGACTTGGCCGACATTAAGGATGAGAGGTTCAAGGAGTACTCCGTCGATTGGAAATGCAACGAGTGTTCCTCCGTGAATAACAAGATCGATACCCTTGTTGCTTGGAGACCTGTGAACCAGAACGACACGCAGGATACCGGAGCGTTGTCTTACGCAGACGTCGGTGAGGATGACAAGGAGTATCTCGTCAAATGGGGGGGTCAATCCTACTTCCATTGCACCTGGATGCCTGGTGCATGGATTAGTGGAGTGGCACACGGAATCATGCGAACCGCATTTGGCAAGCGAGCAGATCAAAATAACCTGCTGCGACTGACCAAGGACGATGCTATTCCCGAGGAATATCTCCGAGCGGATGTCATCCTCCAGGTGAAGTATGACCGTTTTGCGCCACGAGCAACAAACAAGGAGCAAGAGCTTGCCCGTGTCTCCCATATATCAAAGATATATGTCAAGTTCCAAGGACTCGGCTACGATGATGTCGTCTGGGACGAGCCTCCAAGCCAGGATTCAGGTGCCATTTATGCTGCGTTCGAGTCGGCATTCATCGAGTATGTCAATGGCCTTTATTTCCAGTCTGATTTGCCTTCAAAGATGAGAGAGCGAGTTCGGCAGTTCAAGGAAAAGTCTTTCAAGGACGAAATCGAGCTAGCAGAACAGCCTTCTGGCTTACGGGGGAAGCTGATGAAGTACCAACTTCAGGGAGTCAATTGGATGCTTCACCGGTACCATCAAAGCCAGAATGCTATTTTGGCAGACGAGATGGGTCTTGGTAAGACGGTGCAGGTTATATCCCTCATATCTACCCTCGTGTACGAGAGTCCGAGGTGCTGGCCGTTCCTCATTGTGGTGCCCAATTCCACGTGTCCGAATTGGAGAAGGGAAATTAAGCACTGGGCGCCGGACTTGCGAGTGGTGACTTACCACGGCGGCAAGATGCCCCAGGACCTTGCATACAAGTACGAGCTCTTTCCGAATGACTCAAAGGAGATGAAAGCGCACATAGTTGTCATGTCTTATGACTCTGCCCAGGATGAGAGGACCCGTGGACTCTTCCGGTCGGTCCATTGGGCGGGCGTGGTCGTCGATGAGGGCCAGCGTCTCAAGAATGACAAGAACTTGCTCTACCTCGCCTTGCAAGCGATGCATTTCCCATTTAAGCTACTCCTTACGGGTACACCACTTCAGAACAACAAGCGAGAACTTTTCAATTTGCTACAGTTCGTCGACTCTAAGTACGACGCCGTCCAGTTAGACGAGGAGTACCAAGTTTTGACTGCCGAAAAGGTGCGGGAGCTTCATGGCATCATCAGCCCTTATTTCCTTCGACGAACCAAGGCCGGAGTGCTCAAGTTCCTACCTGGAATGGCGCAAATCATTATTCCTGTCACCATGACTGTTGTGCAGGAGAAACTCTGCAAGAGCATCATGGCCAAGAATCCAGACTTGATTCGGGCCATCTTCGCAAACGGGAAATTGGCGGCCAAAGACCGGGGCTCTCTCAACAACATTCTCATGCAGCTTCGGAAATGCCTATGTCACCCGTTCATATACTCCGAGGCGATCGAGGAGCGAGATGTGGACGCTAAGAAAATGCATCGGAATCTGGTGGAGGCCTCTGGAAAGCTGCTTCTCTTGGAACTTATGCTCCCAAAGCTCAGAGAACAGGGACATCGGGTTCTTATCTTCTCCCAGTTTCTTTCTCAGCTCGACATTGTCGAGGACTTCCTGGTCGGCATGGAGCTGAGCTATAGGAGGCTTGATGGGAGCATGTCAAGCCTGGAGAAGCAGAAGCGCATCGATGCATTTAATGCACCTGGTTCTGATATATTTGCCTTTCTCCTGTCAACACGAGCTGGCGGCGTCGGAATCAACCTTGCAACGGCCGACACAGTCATCATCATGGACCCCGATTTCAATCCTCACCAGGATTTGCAAGCACTTTCTCGAGCCCACCGTATTGGACAGAGAGACAAGGTTCTCTGCTTCCAGCTGATGACACGGACCTCTGTCGAGGAGAAAATCATGCAGATGGGAAAGAAGAAATTGGCGCTAGATCATGCCCTAATCGAGCGTATGGACATGGAAGATGCGGGTGACGATTTGGAAGGTATCCTCAGGCATGGTGCAGAGGCCCTCTTCAATGATAACGAAAAAGAAGTCATTCGCTATGACGCCGCATCGGTGGAGAAACTGCTCGACAGATCACAAGCGGACAAGCCTGCCGCTGAGGATGAGGCTGACGAAGGCGCATTTTCTTATGCCCGAATATTCTCGGCGGAAAAGGGCGGTATTGAAGAGACTACCTTGCAGGATTTGGACACCCCTGGAGAAATGCAGCAGAGTGTTTGGGATGCTATCCTTGCCGAAAGAGAAGCGGAAGCTGAACGTGTACGGAAGACGAACGAGGAGATACTCGGTCGTGGTGGGAGAAGACGCCAGGTATGTGTAGGGTAGATGCGTAGTGGAAATCTCGACCAGCATGATGTTTGGTGCTAACTTAGTAACTCGGTGAACAGGCCGTCAACTATCGCACGAACGCAAAACAAGTCTTCGGCTTAGATGCTGCAGATTTAAGCGATTCGGGCCATGGTGGAGAATCTAGCGGCGGCGAATCGGAACTGTACAAGGGCGGGGATAAGGAACAAGCCTCTAGTACGGAGTCCGAGAGCCGAGAACCCCCCCGCGGGACCACAGGTAAACAAGCTTTTTCTACACGTCGCGCTCCAACCCCCCGTGCTACGAGGCAGTCCAAGAATATGGGGTTTAACCAGCTTACAACACAGACACTCTCGCCGACCAAGGCGCGAACGACCAAGTCAAGTCCGACGTTCTCAGCCTCAACGAAACGCAAGATGGGGCAGGGCCAGGGACTCGGAAGCGGAAGCGGAAGAAGAAGTCTCCCGAGAGCCAGCCCAATGGCGCGAGCAAGAGCAAGAACAAGCTCGTCAACCCCCAGCAAGAACGACAACAGCAGTCCCAGCAAGAGCAAATCCGACAACAAAACCCCCAACAACAACACACCCAACAGCAAATCCAACACCCTGAACCCCAACAACAACGCCTTCAGCAGCAAATCCAACAAGAAGAGCAACTCCGCCGACAGCAATACCTCCAAACCAAATTCCGAGAACAGCAGCTCAAACAGCAGCAACAGCACGTCCTCCGACAACATCTCCAACAACGACAGCGAATCCAGCAGCTAGCCCACCAGATGCGAGAAAATGGACCGGCGTCTGGACCGCTTCGTTGGCCTGCTCCCGGGGCAGGGCTCACCAATGGCGTACCCTTAAACGGCTTGGCTGGTCCATTCAACCAGCAGTTCTTGGTCCAGCAGCCCACCCCAGCCTTCAATGCACCTTTGGTGATGACGGCCGGGGCACCTAGTGCCCAAGCATTTGATGCGCAATTCTCATTTACAGATCCACGCCGCCCGGGCATCATCTTTTATACCCCTCTCAGCACAGCGGTTCCCAATAATCTCCAGGTTCAATATCGACCCCCGCAGCCTTCCACAGCCCGACCGAGCCCACGCCAAGCGCATACCCCACAAGCGGCGCAGAGTCCTACGGTTCATTCGGCGGATCAAGCTCTTAATAAAACGGAGGTCCGACTTGCTCTAGACAATCTGAGAACGCAGGACCTCCCCTCATCAGTCAAAGAAGAGCGCCGGCGGATACTCAAATCAAGGCTAAAGGAATTGGAATAGGGCGATAGTTTTCGAGTTTGAAAGGGCCGATGCACCTTTCTCCGGCCTTACCAAACTTGGCCGTGTCCGTTTTTATTTTATTTTCTTCTCTTTTCCTCTTTTATTTTCTCTTTTGCTGCTTCATGGTTTTCATCAATCTCTTGATAGACGCTGGCTTTGCATATAAAGGCGTGAACCGGCAGGACAATAGCATATTACCAAATGACAGTAAGACGATAGATGGGCAGGTCTGCCGGACAGCGAAGAAACAATGAAAACCCGCTAGTGGCTGAGGCTACGATGATGATATTCAATAGCCTCCACAGATGAATATACCCACACTTCGACACCAATATCCGCTCCTGTCTTCTAGAACATTGCCCAAACTGTCACACCAAGGAAGTGATTGAGATGCTTTGCAGATTTGCTTCAAAGCCCTGTCTAACAACAAAGTGTTTGTCACGTGGGATACACAAACTTGGACTGCAGGTAACCGAGTCGACCGGATCCTATTTGAGGATCGAGCAAACGCTTTTGCCACGGCAGCAGCAGGGCGACTCTATGCCAGACAACTAAACATGACAATAAAGAGCTTTCCAGGCTGCTCAGCTCCCAGGAGCTTTAGGTCTTGGGTGGCTTCATGCAGATGCCTGGTGTCTGATCTATATGCAGCCTTTGATCTGACCTTTCCATTCCCAATGCCCACTACCCTGTTGAAGATCTTGATCTTGTGTGTTGTTCCAACCCAGCTTTTTTCCTTCTCCCCTTGTCTGCTTCATTGGCCTGTCTAAAGAGGAAGGAGAGGAGCACAGAGAGCCTATGTCACAACAGCAGCCAGTTTGGAATCGCTACAGTGGACCAGGCAAAGGGGAAGGCTGGCAGCAGCAGCAGGCAAGGCAAGTTTTCCTGGGCCTGCTTTCCTTATTGATTTCTCCTGAGAGTTGCTTGGCTCTATTCATGATTTCGTTTGTGATCCATATCTTTCCCAAATTAATTTTTTTTTTCCCCTTCACACACACCAAGCCTTCCAACATCTATCTGCCCCCATTCTCTGTTCTTGCTCCTACAATCTCTAACCTAGCCTGCATGGAGATACAGGATTTCCCTCCTCTGCTATTTCTGATGGTCTTGTTCTGAGAAACCTATTTCAAGAGCTATATCTCACCTTGTTTACCTTCTTGTATTCTCTTCTTCCCCCCACGTCTCAGGATGGACTATCCTACTCAGCGTCACATCACTGCAAATAATCGAGCCTCTTTCCCTTCCTTAGTACCGCATAACCCCTCTAGCCACGAGCCTCCCCTTGAGTCGTCCCTTGATTCTTTTTACCAAGATATAGACTTTCCTTATTCTGTGGAAGGTTCAAACATGAGTCGCCAGCCGACAGCATATACCCTCCATGGCGAGAGGTTCCGGGCTCCCTTGAATGGTCGAACCCATAACCAGGCCCATCAGCAGCGATATGCCATCCAAGGTCAGGGCCACCAGAACCTCCACCATCTCCAGGCCCTCCAAAACCTCCAGACCATCCAAAATCTTCAGAATTCTCCCAGCTCGCAAGGCCAGCATCACTATACCCAGCAGCAGCCGCAGCATCTGCCAGCTTCTTCTCTTGCTCCTGTCAGTCTTTCCAGGCAAACTATGTCACCGATGATGCTTTCTGCCCCAAGAAGCATGTACTCGAACTGGGGGATTGGATTTGATACTGATTTCGGACCGCAGCCTATCCTTCATCAAACGTCTCACGCATATGGAAACGGTAACGGAACCGGTGCTGGAGGCGAAGTGAATCTCAACGCCGCAGGGCTTGCCTTTTACGAGCGATATGGAGGCGTCATCGGCAATGGAGATGGAAGAACCAGCAACGGCACGCTCGTCAGCGCCGTTCCGTCTGAGCCTAGGCTGGATTCCGCCTTTGCGTATTGTTATGACCGAGGAAATGGACAATACACCAGGCTCATCCCCGCGGACTTGCTGCCTGAGCTCAAGGATATTCCTCGCATGCAGAATAGTTCTGCCGGCATGATTGTACTCCCTCAGCCCATGGGCATCCCACCCGCAGGTGTAGCCAGCAACACTTGCCCGGTTGTTATCAAGGTACGTCTGATACGCGCTTATTTTTCGTTTTTGCCCCCTCGAAAGCTGCAAAGCTTCAGTTCCCCATCAATTATCATTTCAACGCCCTCTTCAGAATATTTTGCTAACTTTACCTCCAATTCAGTCTCCTCGGAACGGCACAGCCCAGGCATCTGATTCTATTCAGGTTAGCAAACGTCGTCCTCTCAATCGGCCTACATATTCTGAGACTAACTCCGCGCAACTCGCTAAACAGAGCCAAATCGACAATATCGTGAAATCGGCGCCCGTGAGACGACCTAAGATCTATTGCGATAAATGGGTTCACGAGGGTGTTTGCGCCTTCACACAACAGGGGTGTAAATACAAGCACGAAATGCCCTTCGACAGGCAGACCCAGCACCAACTGGGGCTATTCCACGGACTTCCTGCCTGGTGGAAGAAGCACCAGGCCGAGTTGCAGCGACAGCGAGACGTAAGCGAGCCTGCCTCTCCTACCGCGCCAATGAGCGCCAAACAGAGCGCTACGCCTGTCGCCGAGAACTCTGGAGAGCGCCAGGGATGGAGACCGGAAACCGTTAAGAGAAACACAAGCCCGTTGTCATCCCCGACACCTTCGACCACTGTTTCGAACAATTCCCCGGCCTCGCCTCGACTCGGCTTCGCAACCGGCGGAATCATGAGTGTGAAGCTTTCCAACTTGACTCGCCGCGGAAACGGAACTGCCAACCATCCTCCCCGAGTTGAGGACAAGAGTTCGACGCAGCGAGTCGCGTTCCACCCGAAGACCGCCAAGGTCCCCTTGACGCCCACGTCGGCTTGTGTCTGGGGCCCCATTGGCCCCCCTCAGCGGCAAACTGCTGGCGAGGTCGAAGTCTCAAGGGGCCGAACTCAGAACGGCTCAAGGAACGGCTTTACTCTCCTCGATTCTTTCGAGGATGAATTTCTTGGAGGTAATGAACAGAGGGCTTGAAATGAAGCCCATGATACCGAAAGCCCTCAGGAAGTAGCGTTTCCCTTTCTCTCTAGGTTCCAATCACGGTTTTTATGGTGTCGAATATTTCATTCTAGCATTCTTAGTATTATGAACTGTTAAAAAAAAAAGAAGGTTCAATAGTTATGATATCGCCTGTGGAAGGAAAGAGGGAAATAAATAAAAGGGCACCTCATTTTATGGAAAAGACAGCATCCACCTGTATTATAGAGAAAGCGAATCGACAGCATGAATTTGCTTCCACTTGAGAGTTCTTTATGTAGAAAATACGCTACTGACTTGGGCTCGGCGTAAACAGATTTCTTCTATATATATATTTGTTATATGTAGTGTCGCCTTTGCCAGTATGAGCCCTCTGCAGCTTAGAGTGGTTTCCCAAAACCCGGCTGTCCTGTTTTCAGGAAACCTTTAGAGTCCTAGGCATATCGGTTTCACCACAACCGAGAGCCTCGACACAGTCCACAACATCGGATGCTGTGCAATCTCCTACCCTTGTCCACAGCCGTGGGATGTGGCTCCGATGAACTCTATAGCTCCCCAAGGCGCAGACATGGGAGTTGTTCAAATTGCAAACAACTGTCAAACGAGGTCGATCTTCGTTTTGAGACGACGAATGGTAGTAATATACAAAAAGGTCAGCAGCCCCTGATCATACTAGATTTTAGGATAACAAAAAATTAAATCAAATACAAGAGAAGCACAAGGGGCGACATCAGTTGTTGTACTTCGTAGATGTCGATGCTGGGACAAGCTGTTTGCCCTCTGATGTTGGTGATGTCTTCTTCAGAAATCCAATATCGAATGCTCCTTCCTGCCTGTTGCCCCTCCAAGGACGGCATGGATGGTCCATTCCAATTATTAGCGTTAGTCAGCCGGCTAGTGTCACTGTACCTGTCTTGCATGCTCCAAGTCTCTTTCCAAACAGAGTCTTGGCTGGGGGGACAGCTTAGAACCCCACCCCCACTATTAGACTCAAGTTGGCGGGGGTGCGAAGGTATATTACGTTCGAAGGTACCTGTGTACTCAGCTGTGTAATACTTCAGGGATGGGAGATTTCACCGTCGTCCTTGTCTCCCCTCACACAAGGCGTCTGGTGTTTTCCCTCGTCTATTGATACTTCGTAGAGGAGTAAAGACGAACGCTGATCTTCGTGAAAAGAATTGGTCAAATCCTAATGTGTAATGCAGTCAGGCACAAGACATCAAGGAGGGGCGGCTAAACATCGGTCCCGCAACTAACAAGCTACGTAACTTAACCTCCAACAGGCAACATTGAACCTCAAGGCATCATCACCAACACCTCCATTCTACCTACGAAGCGAACAAACTCCCACTATGTGCCTTGAATAGGCCCATAGTCCTTTTCATCGACATTTTGCAGCTTCTAACCTTACCCTTTCCGACTTCCACCCTGCGATCTCCATCTGCGTCGTTGTTGCGCTCTCCGAACCAAGGAGCCCCACCGAGTCCGACCGAGCCATAACCCCATTCCTAACTACTCCCTCGCATTTGCGCTTCGCCTTCACAACCCGAGAATCCCGGCGCCATCTAGACCCTTTATTTTTGGCCGGTTGTGCCAAATATCAGGATGGACCATTGTCTTTCCGTCCTCAAGGCGTTTCCGCCCGAAAACCTGTATCTAAAGGAAGAGGCCTACCATACGGGAATCAGATCGCATCTGGCTAGCCTAGATGGTCTCCTCGCTAAGCACCTTGGAAACCTTGTTGCCCATGCTGAGGCAGTACTCGCCGTGAGCTTATGCCCTATCGGTCGAGCGCTGCTGTGCCATAATTACTAATGAGAGCTGTCACGCTTATAGGCCCTTGATCCTTCCTTCCACACCACATCTTACATCACAGTGCTCGAGGCGGTAATAAAGACAGATCCGAAGAGCTTGGCCTCTCGAGAAGCCCTGCTTGATAATATCCTCCGTTGCCTTGTGCTTTTCGACCCACGACAGGTCCGCTACGTTGGCGCAGCCTTTAGAGCTATCCTCGAGCATGTGCTGCTCACCAAGACCTTTTCGGTATGCATGACCGTGACACGTGTTTGTGATGCTTGGAGACAGTCCGAGTCGCTAACCTTCTTTCTCATGGTTGCCTTTAGCCCCGGATTGCGGTCGATGCCGCTGTCGCTGCCATCTTGAGACTTGACCCTGATAGCAGGGTTCTTACATCTAGCCACTGCATCCTCGCCAATCTGGCATACACTACCGGATGCCTTGAGTATGCCCGTCCCGTCCTCGAAAAACCCATCCTCTTCTTCCCCGAGCCGAATTTTAAACCGAGATTTCTATGCGAAAAATCCCTACCTCCATCCGCCTACGTCACCTACGGCACCGGCCTGAGCGCTCGTCTTTCGTCGACCAGCCTACTCGAATATGACCTGATGCGTGCCATGATGCATATCCAGCACCAGGAATGGGCTCCTGCGCTCGACGCCCTCGAACAGTGTATTTCTCACCCAACGGACGAGAATGCTGTGAGCACCATTATGCTCCAAGCCTTCTTCAAATGGACGCTTGTGAGCCTGTTACTCCACGGTCGAATCATCGGCCTCCCGGGAAATCCGCTCTCGGGTGCTGCAGCCGCATTTGATGGGCTAGGAGAGCCGTATCTCGATATTGATGGTCTCTTCGCTGAGGAGAACGCTGAGGGTCTCAAGACCCTCCGAGGGCGGCATGAGGCTAGATTTATTGCCGATGGCAACCTTCGACTAGTTGATCTAGTCATTTCTGCCTTCCAGAAGTGGCAGATCGTGGGCCTAGGAAACCTCTACTCCAAGATTAGCATTTCCGAGGTTCGCCAGCTCACCCAAAGCGCCGTGACCGGCAAGCCTCTTGAAACAGACGCGGAGGTAGAGGCTCTACTCAAGAGCATGATTGAATCCAAGATGTTGAGCGCGACCCTCGAGCCGGCTTCCTTCGGTCGTCCTGCCCACCTCGCATTCCTGCCATCGCCAGCCCTGATTCCCGAGGCCGAATATGCGACACAATTGGAGGCTGCAGTCCAGAGCGTGGCAAAGGTCACTGCTGATATCGAGGCCGCCAATGCGGCTCTTGGCCGGAATAGAGAGTACCTAAGATATCTTCAAAAGGAAAAGAAGAGGCGGGAGAAGGAAGGAGACCCGGCCATTGATTTTGAAGCTACTATTGAAGACGAAGACTTGATGCTGGGAATAGGAGGCAATTCTGCCTAGAAGGTAAAGAGTAGGTCCCCTACACCAGCACCTTTCTAATAGTTTAAGGGCCATTACTACCAGTAGGGAACTTGTTTTCCCGATGGGTGTAAGTCTTGGCTTCGTTGTGGGGCAAGCAATAAGAGGAGTGGAGGCGGGAATATTGCAGTGACTATGGAAGGGGGGGAGTGAGGTTTGATGGATAAAAAGGAGGTGGTTTATGAGAATATGGGCACAATGATACATCTGCGAAAGAGGCAGGTGAATGTATGTGTGATCCCTGATGTCTCCAGTCATGTGGAATCTGGAGGTCGCAGGGCATTGGAACTGAGCTCTAGTCACCTCGAACAGGACCAAATTTTTGATGATGATTCCACTGTCATGGTGGAAAGGGGAAAAGAATTACTTTATGACAGATGTTGTGAATATCGGAAGTGCTAGCAATGCAAAGGTGTTGATTCAGGCCAAGTTCGTAGTTCATATCCTTTGCTTTCTACCACCCATCTTGAAGTGTTCTTCCCGACTCTAAGGATCCCCCTTCGCCGATTTTCTCTTTTTCATTTCCTCACATAAACTGATTCCCATCATTTCGCCCTGCCACATTATATACCTCATCACTTTGACTCATTCATATTCCACCAAGTGGAAGAAATCAAATTCGACTGTTTAGCTGATGCTGTACTGCTTGATGAGCTCGGCAAGTTTGTTGCCTTCGGCCTTGAAGTCGACAGGTGTAGCGTTCATGATTTGGTATCGTATCCTGTAGTTCTCGTAAGCTTCCTATATAAAGTTCCAAGGGGGTTACAGGTGATAAGTTAGAGAAAGGGAGGATGTAGCATACGTCTCCTGCTCGTTGAAAGTCTCCATCTTGGCGCGACACTTAAAGTTATATATCCGGCAATTCGCCTCCTCAAAGATGGGGTTCGCCGCAGTCTCGCCCCCGTCATTGATGACCTCCATGATGTGATCGGCAGTCGTCCCCGTGATCATGCGGGCGACCTCGTCGAAGCAGGTCAACCAGATCTGGCCCGAGTGGTCGCAGACGTTCACGCCGAGAATGAACCGGTAATTTGGCCTGGGGAAATTCATGTCGCACTTCTCGCAGCGCCATGTCTCGTCGGGGAGCTCCTCGACTTTCTTGTTGCATTGGCCGTTGGGGTTCGCGCAGGCGGCGTAGCAGAAGTTCTTTTGCCTGATGTAGATCACGGTGGCTTTGAGCAGGAAGTAGGCGTCGCCGCCCACACCGAGGCTCTCGTCCTTGATCTGCTTGATGAGCTTGATCTCCTCCTTGCGCCCCGTGGCCCTGCCTACGCTGGCCATGTTGTTGTGGGTTGCGAAGGAGCCTGTGCGACCCTGGGAGTCGTACCAGCCCTTTAGGCGGTGGGCGTCGGGGATGTCGGGGTCCACGGACATGGTTCCGGAACTGAGGAGGCTGAGGCTACGGCCGTTAAAGTCAGACACCTTGACGCCCTTAAAGGCAATCACGGATTCGGGCTTCACGTCAAACGACTTTGCCTGTTTACCCCAAATTGTCAAGCGAGTGGCATAGCCACTGTCGTCAACAAGTGACAGTTCACGCTTTTCGTACGGCTTGCCTGTAGCCTTAGACACGAGGGAAGTAACGTCATCCACGTCCTTCAGGACGCCGATTACATCGACGGTGGTATCCTTCTCCACGTCTTTGAGATCGCCAAGGTTGCAAAAAGCAAAGCGGACTTGCGGCGCACTGCTCTGATCTTCGGCCTTCTCGACAACGGTGTCTCGTTCGAACGTGAGCTCGTAGTCATTTGGAAGAATTGAGAACTGCTTCTTGGCCAGCTGGACCCTGCAGGGGGTAGAGATATAGTATACTTGCCCCACCTGTAGCAGGGGGTAGAGATGATCAACCTGCTCGTTGAAGGCGGTAGCCTTGATCTCGCTGCTCTCGTCGAGGAGGTTGACGCTGAACAGTTTTCCTTCGCTATTGTTCTTATGCCAGGTTTTGATTTCGGACTTTGCGCTGACGCGAGCTCGGATTGTCCACTTCGAAGAGTATGGTGATAGGGCCTCGATAGGGTAGATATTAGCGTTAGGCTTCGCCTCGACCCGCCGGGGAGCTGGCGGCTTCTTCTCTTCCGTCTTGGCCCCATAAAAGCTCTGTCCAGTAATCGTCTGGATTTGGCCTTCTTGTCCGACTGATGGTAGTTGTTGGGGTGTACCGATCTTTGGGGGGGTTCCGAAAGCCTGGAGGACCTCGAGGTCTAGAATGACCATGATGCTGGACAAGAAGCGAATGAGTTAGAAAGGAGAGTCGCAAAATGTATGACGCTTTGTAGAGACGTACCGCTTTTGCTTAATGACATTCTTCTGGTATTGTTTGATCCGGACGATCTTATGTTGTTCCAGCTGTTGGTTCGCAATGAGGTAGTGGGACTGAGTGGCTACCATCGCTTGACAGAAGAGCTCCCCGTCACTGAGGACAAGGCGATGTCTGTCAGGACCTCCACCCTCCGTAGGGATGGTCTTGACAACTAGAATCTGGACAACGGGGCTTGGGAATCTTTCTGCAGCGGTAGCATCCTCGAAGAAGGTGGCACTAAGATGAGGGAAAGAAAGAAACTTGTCAGTCGACAGAGCGGATGATAGTAAGATTGGGCAAGGGACGATGTCGGATCACTTACTGTAGCCAGCCCCGCGAGAGGGCGCTAGAGGCGTCCATGATCTGAGAGGAATTGGTTTGGGGAAAATGGGTTGAGCGAGACTTTGACGATGATGCTATGTCGTAATTATCGAAAAGATGCAGAGATGACGAGAATAGACCCGGTTCACTGCACTGCAATGACTCGATTAGGTATCAAGGAGGGGAAGACTGTGGCGATAGTGAGTGTCAAGGTCGTCTTTACCGCGACGCGTAGCACTTTGCAAGGCGCGTTTTCTTGCGGGGTCCTTGTTTAATAGTGTTACTTACATAAGCAATCACTGTGAGTATACAAAGCACATGGTTGGCAATTGTGAGGGGCTCCTCCAACTGGTGCGGGGAGCTGTTGATGGAGATGGTTCGACTCCTGCCATGTCTTTCCCAAGCAATAATGTCCACAGTACTTCTTATTACACGAAATTAATAATGTGGACTGTGTCACGAATACTTTGAGGTAGATCCCACCTGCCATCGTCGTCATCACAATTGAACACCTTCCTGCAATCCTCTGTTCGTATTTCTGTTGTGAAACATTGTGCTCTCCACCTCACCATCTATTTCCTTTCGCTCCTTTCTCTCCCAACTGAGCCCTTCCTTTTTTCTTGCGCTGTGAAGCCCTATTTGTGCCCATTTGTTATCTTTCTGCCTACCTCGGAGGTGTAGGTACGACTAGCCGGCAAAACAGATACAGAGCTGCGACGCCTAGAACAACAGCCATGGCCGGTCCTAACATTGCTACGAAGTCGCCCGAGAGCGATGCGCAAGAAGACATCCCCCTCCAGGCTTCCCCCGCCCATTCTACACTTGTTGTAGGAGAACACTGCGTTACCGATCGACCCACTCGTATGTCCTCTCCCAAATACTACGGAAGGTCCATTATGTCACACGAAGCGAGTACTAATGTCCTTAAAGCTAGCGGCCAAGCATCGACGGGAGAGATTATCCAGATCAACGATGTTAATGTAGGCGGCTCGTTGGGGCTAGACAGCTCGTGATAGGATGCTTTCTAACGGGAACAGGTGTATATATCGAAACCGACCGACTACCCACACACGCCGGCGCGGTTGCTACTCCTTCTGACGGGCGGCACAGGATTGCACTCGGTCAACAACCAGATCCAGGCGGACAAGTATGCAGGGGAAGGCTTCTTGGTCATCATGCCAGACCTGTTCAATGGCGACCCCGCCCCAACATCAGCAGCCTTCGAGGAGGAAGATACGGGATCACTCTTAGCCCAGGTCAGGATGAAGGCCGTCGAAGCTGCCAAGAGTTTCCTCATCGACATGTGGCTGGCGAGACACACAGAAGAGAAAGTGCTGCCCATCCTCTACAAGGTCATTGAAGGATGCAAGGAGAAGTACGCCGATGCCGTGAAGCACGGAGATGGCATCTATGCCGTTGGTTACTGCATCGGGGGACGGTATGTCCTATTGCTGGGCAGAGAAAAGCAGCTCCCTGCTGCTCAGGTTCCTGATGAGGAAGCTGGGGCAGTGAGAACAGGGCCTTTGATCAAGGTTGGTGCGCTTGCTCACGCTGCATCCGTCACGCCGGATGACTTTGTGGGCTTGAAGGTACCAGTGAGCTTAGTCTGCGTTGAGAACGACTCTCTGTTCACGGATGAGGTTAGGACGAGTGGCGAGGATGCGATGGGTTCTGCGAATCTTGAACACGAAGTCAAAGTCTATCCTGGAGTCCCTCATGGTAAGTTTTTCGTCGTCGAGATCGAGATCGAGGCGAGGGTTGGTTGAGCTAACCATCTCATATCAGGTTTTGCGGTCGTGGGTCAGTATGAGGATGAGGGCATTAAAGAAGCCCAGGCGACTGCGTATGATCAGATGCTCAACTGGATAAAAGAGCGCTGATGAGTGGATCGGACTTGTCTCTCGTCGGAACATCGGGGTTGTCAAGTTGTGTGTTTCCCTTTGTCGAGCGGACGGATCGGAGTTGGCGGTAGTCTTAAATAACGCAACAAATGTGATTTGGGCTGGTTCAAAAGATGAGATCTAAGGGTTTTGAGGATCTGAGATCATGAGTCTCAACCTCAACGTCGTAATTCGGAAGCTTCGAACTCGGTGATTAAGGTATTCGCTCTCACATCTTCGAACACCCTCGATGTCGAGTTGAGAGCCATCTTTGGATCTAAGGCAGTGTCTGATGCCTCACCGGACCACCCTTCCCTGGGTCAAGATGAGACAAAAAATCCATCTCATTTCTCTTGTTATCTCCGTACCGCATACGAGGTTCCATCAATATCCAAAATTATGAGATGAAAATTACGACCCTACAAATGGGTTCATACGAAGGGAGGTCGATATCAATCCCTGCCTCTGGTAACATTCCAGGCAATAGTGGAGTCGCCCATCCGGCACGATTCCCGCCGAGTAGTGTAGTGTACGATAGTATCGAGGTACTTACTTGAGTGAGCGATTAACAGGGCAATTCTCTGTTCCCTTCTTTCTTGATGATTAGCAGGACGCTACGAGATGCCCAACAAGAGAAAACTCCACCACATTTGCAGATTTGAAATTACATCGAAGACTCGAGTTTTCCATGGCTAGGAGTAAAATGATGGCAACGGGAATACGAGCGCAGAACTTTACCCAGCTATGTTTGTAAATAGATTACCGTAAGGAGGTGGCGCTACTTCGCACTTTCATGCTTCGAACTCTCTGTCCAAATAAGGCGTGCAAGGGGGGAAAGGGAGCTGCGTATTGGGCCCCTGCCAAGTACCAGGAGGAGAAGAGTTTAATTTCTCCCAAAAATGGATTGATTCATTTCACGGCAAATGCTTAATGCTTCAGTAATCTGTGCTTTTTCTGGGTGCTCGCGGGGGAGTGACTCAATCCGGTCTATCTGGGGATCGCAGTCGAAGATAAGGCGAAAATGTAAATATCGATTTAAGCTGCCCTCCGTTCCAGGGGAAAGGAGAGCCTTTGAGACGGTTCCAGGGACAATACTACCCAAACCACGAGGGGCTCGATCGCGCGAGGAATGTGAAATAGCGTCGCGTCTGTTCGCCCAACATCACTTTGCATATGTGAACATATCAGTAAACAGATGCAACTCGCGACTTGCACGCGTGTCTTCCAACTTTTGGTTTGCCTCTCATTTCCTCTCCGTTTCCTAGGCTACGCTTCTGCACCCCACGATGGCTTGAAGGACTACGAAGTAGTGTAGATTAGATGTGGAATCGTCGGCGTCAACTCCCCTGTTTGGGTGTGTGCTGGCAAAGTGCGGAGTAGTGTACACAACGACATTCCGTATCGCAAACTCGATTCACCGCCGTGCAGCCGGAGGAAAGAACCAATTGGAAGCACCGAGATCCACCAAGTTCGAGTGGAGTGGATGGACCTGCTATCAAAGCCATCAAACTCCCACCCATGTCACCGAACACACTAGTGCACTTCGTAGCTCCAGCGCTCGGGTTCTTGGTTCAGCATTGGTTTGTCCGCTGGTTTGCTCTAACGAAAGAGGAAGGATGTTGACGAAGCAGACTTCGATGTTCATCTTCTTTTTCCTTTTTTTTTTTTTTTTTTTTTTTTTTTTTTTTTTTCTTTTTTCCCTTCGCTTTCTCCAGTATCCCTTTTTCTTCATTCAGGGGCCGAGAATAGTGAGACATCTATGATTAAAGTGGATCCTCCGAAGAGGAATAAGGAGAGACGGAGTCAGTGCAGACAAAGCCAGGCGATGATATCGCTTCCATGGCCCCGATATCAGAAACAAGTGCTTGCAACGGACCGAGTCTTCGATACGACGTCTTTCGCCACCCCGATCAATCAGTAATTTGAAAATGACAGCTGCGAGCAAAGGGACTAACACGCATCCTGGTCGTGTAAATGATTTTCTTGACCTTTCAACTCGGTTCGGCACGGGCGTGCGGGTATTGGATTGGATTGGATGATTCTCGGTGCTCCCTTTCAGGTTTTCAGCCCAGATTCGTAGTCGAGTGGATACAGTGGAGACGGTAATCTCATGCGATCAGTGATCTCTGGTGTTGGTCGCTGAAAATAGCATCCGACTTTTCAGTGCTGGGAAAAAAAAATACGAGGTGTGCCCGGAGAATTTGGTGTTGTCCATGTCCTTTTGAGAGCGATTTTTTCTCGTTTTTCGAATACTTCGAAGACCCAGGCAAGAACGACCCAACGCAACCCAGCCTAACCAGGAAGCCAAACCGGGAAAGAGCTCCCACACTACCAGCGTCCATCACCAGCGTCCACCACCGGTATCAGGGCCGGAACTTCAAAGCGATCAATTTCCTTGGAAGGATCAATCATTGATCAAACAATTCTCTCCAGCTACGCTACCCCACCACTAACCTCGTGAAGTTGTGTACCTCGTACACTACATACCAATACTACGCAGTCCATGACAACCTATTGTTGAAGGCGGTTAGTCTCCTGCCTAGGACAAGGGTGCTTGCCTATCGATCCCCTCAAGAAGCGACCACTAATTGGAAGTTGAATGTTATCAAAGTCCGACGATTTGGTTTGGTGCAGGAATTGCCTGGCTAGAAGCCGGCCTTCCGCAAAGCATCGGAAAACCCTTGACGCCACAAGCCCTGAATCTAGCATTCTCCACCGCATTAATTTCAAGTCACCGACCAATCCGAGCATCAGCATTTTATAATCAATGCCACTATTAGTTGTGGGCTGGGCCGACGGGCTCTTGATCAGTCGAGGTTTGGAAGGTTCTGGGGTGCAAAGAAGGAATGCCATCTCCATGCCAAGTTTGCTCTCCGCAAAGTGCATTTACTTTGTTGACGAGTAGTCTTGCACCGGTGGTTTCGTCCCCGTCTTGGTATGTTCGGCATCCGACTGATACTGGGTGTACACTAGATAGCCGCTGTTTTATTAGATGCTGTCACCGCCGATCAGTGTAAATAAGTATCAATGATCTTGATCGCTCTGTGCCAAAGACGTGTACTCCATATACTTACACTACTTCGTATTAGGTGCCATAGGTGGTAGCGTGGTGGGTGCACTATGTGGAAATCCTGACCGAAAGAAAAGCATGTATGGTCCTCCGGAATGTACCCTCTAAGCCTGTGATCCCTAGCCATTACTCCTTGGGGCTTGCATTAGATTCAGCAAACAGCAAAAAAGGAAAAGAAAGGAGAGAAAAGGGTCCGGAAGGGACCTAATCTTCACATCACATCACCACGAAGCAATTCTACCTTGTACTTCGTAGTAGGGGACTTTGTACCTCGTATGGTACAGGTGGCTGCCTTCCGAGCCGCCCAGCATTTCTTTCACTCACCGTCGTCACACAGGAGGCCGTCGACACATAGAAGTACTTCGTTGTCCGCTAGCCGCGCATGCACCACACACAGGTTCCTGCAGTAGGGGGGGGCCGTGACACACACACATTTCACTTCGTTTCCTGAGAGTTCAGATGAACGTGGGTGCCTGAGATCGGTTGGCAAAGCTGTGCGCTGTCCCTGCGTCAGGTAGGCGATAGAGTCTTGCGCCGGAGAGCCAGACACACATCCTTCGTATGGTTGGCGTTGACATCGAGAACGCTCCAAGGGTCAAATCATACTGTCGTAAAGCTTCAGGCCATGTCTGGCACCCAACCCCTCGATTCGGACCTTGTCGCTCAGCCAAACCAGGTCCCTTATTGCATAGCATAGTGCACTGCGTCTCGACTAGACAGGATCTCGAAGTCACCTAGTACAGAGTATCAATGCTTCCAAAACCTCTTCTTCGACCAAGTAATCATCTACTTTGTAGTTACTCTGCACCTCCGTACGAAGTACGCCCAACGATAATAGAGGACTTCGTAATCGACCACCAATACTAATCGGCCAAATGCATCCCAGATAACGCGGTTCCTCTTCCACCATCAGGAACGCAGGGTTACAATTTGTGAACAAATGGGGAAAATGTGCACATGGAGGCGCCGGAGGTACTTCGTCCTTCCAGTGGTGGATCATCGGTGAAATCTGATCATTGATGATAAATTACTGCACACCCAATCTGTGCCACTCCTCCATTGCTGGCACGCTCCTGGGGCGTCGTGGCGCTGGAAAGCAAATTTGATGGGGAGTCGTCTGTTCAATCAACACCCAAGCGCTGGTGCCGTTCCCGCCGCTTGGTGGAGCGAGGTAACTTGAAAGGGGCAATTAGGGGGGGGAAATACGAGTGAAGGACATGCAATGGTGCATGGTACATGGGTATGCCCATTTCCATCCATCCATTGATCCCTTGCGTTGGTGGATTGGACTGATGCATCAACTGGAGACTGGTAACATTCAATTTGTAACTATTGTATGTGTATTCCTCGTACTTCGAGTGCTACCACCCCGTAAAAAGTGCTTCTCACTTCGTACATTGTACTCCGTATCTTGATTAGTATTAGCGATCGTGCCCACCAAAAGCCAAAGGTACGTACTGCTCGGTAAGGCGTGTACCCTGCACCATGTCTAATCGAGATTTGATGGGTGGATAGGGTAGGAGGGGACCTGCTGCGACTGCACTATCGCCCGCCAGGGGTAAAGCAACATTGGACATTGAACTGGGACTGAGCATTGAACAAAGAACCTGAGCAGAACTTCCAGACGCACCCCCTTGTCCAGGACACCCCCCCCCGGCCCCCCCCCCCCCCTTGTCCCTTCGTCCAAGTCCGAGCCAGAGCCAAATCCACTTGTCAAACTCTCGGGGCAAACCCTCGTCTTCAGTTGTATATAATGCCTCGTTCCAAGACCTCTAGTCATTTCTTCTTTTTCCTTTCCTTCCTCACCCACACACACTCGCTTCCAATACAGCTTCTGACTCTTCAGTCAATTACATTCGTTACCAACTCGCCCTAAAGCTCCTCGCTTTCAACCACTACCAAACGTTCTTAATTTAATCGTTTTCTTCGGAAACCCCCTAATACCAACAAAATGAAGTACGCTGCTGTCCTCGCTCTCGCCGGCCTCGCCGCCGCTGGTGCTGTCCCCGCCCAGAACGGTACCGTCTACAGTATGTTTCAATCTCCCGGAGTTCAAGAGCTCTGCTTTCATTCGGAATACTTGTTGCTAACTTGGAGAAGCCACCGAGGTTGTGACTGCCTACACCACCTACTGCCCCGAGCCCACCACCATCACCGACGGCGACAACACCATCACCATCACTGAGCCCACCACCGTCACCATCACCCACTGCCCCGGTGGTTGCACCATCAAGAAGCCCATCCACTCCACCCCCGCCGTCGTCTGCGGTGAGGAGTGCGCTCCCAAGCCCACCGCCAACGGCACTATTCCCACCTACCACCCCACCGGCAGCATTCCTGCCCCCACCCAGCCCGCCGTCCCTGCCGGTGCTGCCAAGGTCGCCGGTGCTGGCCTCGCTGCCTTCCTCGGTGTCGTTGCTTTCGCCCTCTAAATCAATTAATCCATCATCCAACTACGCCATCCACGTTTCGGGGTCTTTCTTCGGAGCGGTCCGAATCGTGGGGAGTCTACTCTAATGAACATATGGTTGTCAATACAAATGATGTTTTTTTCTTGATTTAGCGACATGGGATATATTTAATGGGATTCTTTTTTTAGACTGGGATGATAGACGAGCACTCTTCATTTCGGGGATTTAACTGGACAATACCACCTTCAAAAACGGCGAACCGGTACATAATCGTTTTCTGCATTGCGACTTGGTCAACTTTTCGCTTCCCCACACGCTTTGCAGGAGTCGTCGATTCAAACTCTTGTACTCGTTTTGTCTTGCATTGTCCGGACAAGAACGTATGAGCCAAATGGGTCGCCACGGCACTTGTCAAGTGTGTGCGGTCTTCCAGGAGGTTTGGATGGGGATCGGGTTTCTCGGTGGAGAGGGGGAAGGGATTTCTTGTCTAGATGTTCGCGCGCGAGGAATCGTCTTTGTTCTCTTCGATCAAAAACAATAAGAAACTCGGTTCTGTTCTCTTCTGGCAACTCATATTTTCTGACATTTTTCTTGTTCCTTGCTGGATGAGTGACTATCTTGTGCTGTTTACTGAGGCAGCACTGGTTGCGAGTCCAGGCTTTGTCGGGCGTGTTTATGGTCTCCAACAACCTTCCAGTGCTTTACAGTTTGCATTCATTGTACATAGATGTTTTGGATGTAAATTTGAGCATTGCCCGGAGACTAGTTTTGGCCCGGCAGCTTTTTCTTCCCGCAACCGCCCTTCTCCCAATTCTTTCGTTGTGTTGTGATTTTTCTCACCTCCAAATCCGTTGCTGGGGACGACGATACTTGCATTACACTACACTCCGGTACGTTCGGGATTGGCTCGGTCTCTGACACGTACTGTCTCTCTATCGCCTTGGGGCTCCACTAGCGAAGTGCAAATCACAGAAGAGTTTTTCACATTTGGGAGAGAAAAAGACGGAGGATTAACGCCACCGTCCGGCTTGGGATAGTCTGACTCGCCTGTCTCGGCTCGTTCTGAAGAGAAAAACGTCCAACCCACACGTTGAAGAGGCGATACTTGGCCGAGTAAATCTCCGATTCTGCAGTGATACGGACGATACTGATGATCAAGAAACTGTACGATATGCTTTTTTTTCACCCTGCTTTTTCGTCATCAGTGGAGTCTTTTCTACTTTTGTACCTGTGGCTGCTATAGCCCACTTCGGAGTTGGAGATTGCAGTTCGACGTCCGTGGCTTGTTTAGTGATCTACTGATCGCCTATAGTGTACAATCTACTTCAGCTGCGGAAACCCAAGTCTATATATATATCGGGCCGGAGATGGTCGATTTCCTGGTTTTTGCCTTTTTTCCTTTTTTTTTTTTCTTTCCTCAGTGGGAAGTCATAAGATGCTCGTTATGATCCGAGCAAACGACGGGGACAAATGATTGCAAGAAGTTGACGGGAGTGACTCGATGCGCTGCACGGGAAATTCAATGCGGGTGGGTGCAAATCCATTCAGGTACCAAACGACTCTGATTGGATGGACAAGAAAACGAGGAAGGGAAGGAGGAAAGGGTCCGGCACTCGGTACTTCGTACCTTCCCTTATTGTCAGTTCATCTCGCAAATAGGAAACAGTATGGATTTATATTTTGCACTGTATACCGAACTTTTTGAGAGTTTCTCTCTTAAAGTAGAATTGATGATTATCCTTGAATGGTCACGGTTTTCCGGTTGAAGGTAGGCTGCTTCGCGTGTCTTTAGTCCCTTGAACGATGAAGACCCTTTTCTTGTCTTCATTTTTTTTTCCGACGGAAATTGGGAGAAACTGCTTTTTTCAAATCCTCCTAGGGACAATTTACGTTGTGGACTATGTCCAAGTACCCTACGAAGTAACATAGCCAGTGAAGGGATCAGCAACTCTAGGAACGCAGTCGACACACACGATAACTAGCTACAAAGTATCAAAAATTGAGCCCAACAAAGTACTTGGTCTTTTCTATAATAACAACACACCCTCCCTGAGACTGCAGGACTTCAGGCGCACCGCACCACAGCTTCGAGCAATCTTAATGATATCTGGTTGTTATCAGTTTTGAGCAAGTCCAGGTGGGACCGCCACGGGCGAAGCGAAATTGCCAAAACCAGAAAGCTTTGTTGGAGATGCTTTTAAAGTAGCGTACGAAGAAGCACAAAGTTAACGCTACGAAGTAGGGACTTGGGATCGCGTGGAGCCATGAGCTGGATGAGCGCTGGTCAGTAAGTTGGCGTATAGTTCAAGTTGGCACATGTTGCTAAGAATAACACACTCATACTGGCGCGAACTCTGTTTGAGTGGATTTACAATGAAGTCGTTGCACACTATACCTCAGTATTACGCATACTTTCTATGCGGAAATCTCGTCAGCATTCGGACCAAGGAATGCCTCGAGCTTGTCCAGGACTTCGGACATGAAGAGAACCCCGGCCAATCCGTCGTAATGATGTGCCAACTCTGGCTACAAGTCAGCGGAATATCGGGAGACCGAATCTACGAAATATGGTGGCACTGAAAAATTAATTACGGCCACTGGTTTGGAGCAAGTGTTGTTCATCCAGCCTCGCTCTGTCGATGTACCACAGTTGGTTCTCACAGCAGTGCGCCAATTGTTTCGTGATGGTCCGAGGACGCGTCAACTAGCCCGCCCACCTTTCGAAATGCGTAAGCTCCAATGTTCTCACTTAGAATTGATTCAATCACCAGGTTTAGAGATTCGAATCGCAACCCCGCCAGACTCGCAGAGCTTCACCACGACGCCCTCAGTTGCGTCCCAGGGACTCATCACTACCCTCATCTTGTGCCGACTGTAGTCTTCATCCCGATTCCCATTTCTACGGCGCAAGCTGTATTCGTTTGGGCTCAAAGGCTCCATTGACATTATGGGGTCTTCCCTTTTTCGAGGGATTCTTCCTCTTTTCGGCCCAGCTTTCGGGGTACGCTCGCATCTAAATTAGCTAAGGAGGTTCTCATCATTGATCGATGCTCAACCACATATTGTCCACGTTCTCTGAAAACGCTCTTTCCCAGACTGTGTTGTTCTTTTCGACGATATTTCCAAAAGAGGCGAGGGTTAGGGGCTCGAAGGCTCATAGCTAGGATATCAATGGGCTATTAAGAGTTTTATGGACACGATAAAGAAAAAATTGACTATCGTCATCGTCATCGTCATCGACTTAGGGCACATTGGCGATGTTCCCCCACGCGGCGCCCAACCACCCTACCATTGGGCGACATCGGAGAATAACGAGTTCAGTTTAGACCTCTTCTAAGCGTAAAAATTGTTTGAATATTTTTTTTCCATGGCTTCTCGAGATGTTGATGCTTTTCATCCTTATCGTTTGCAAAAGAGGCACTGCCTAACATGCACCGCCGCCCCAGTCAACAATGACCCTCATCGCTGCGGGAATTAGCCTCGGCTTCGTCGCGCTGTGCTCTTTGCCTGCTGCGAAAAGCATCCTGTTGCAACCACGACATAGGAATGTCAGGCTGTCGTTTTATCAAGATGAAGATGGTAGCAGCCCCCCGGAAGCCATTGCTACTTATTCAACGGTAGTCCCGAAAGCGCTCATCCTCATCTTCTCCCTCGTCGGATCTGCTTTATCAATAGTACTAGCCGTCCACCGACCACGCCATATCCATGACGTATGGATAGAAGCCTGGCTCAACGTAGCTTCCTGGGTATGAAACTATTCCGTCATAAGGGAATATTCATAGACGATGCCCGCTGACGACCGTCAAAGTGTCTTCTTCTCTTGCAAGCACTCGGCACCGCTGTGTCGAGGAGACCTCTTTCCACCTATCGAAGGGGTCTCTATTTACTCCTATCTTGCGTGTTTCTTCTATTTGCGCCCAGTACCACGGATTTCGGATGCTTCTTTGATGAACAACCAAAACTCTTTGCGCTCCACGCCGTTCAACTCGTATTGATCGCGTGCTTGGGCGTCTCGACTCTAACCATCCCCCGCCGGCCCGACGTTTTTTACGATGGCCACCTTGTTGACCGGCAATTTACCGCCTCGGCTTTGCGCCGATTCACTTGGAGTTGGGCGACTGGCCTCCTAACCCTGGCCGTGAAAAAGAATAATTTAGATATGCATGATCTACCACGCCCGGGTCATTCAGTCCGGACCGCGGACGTCACGGCAGCGTGGAATCGGCAGGGCTATAGCCTACGGCCATTATGGATCGCCCTGATCCTCGCGCACAGGAGAGCCTTTTCTCTGCAGTGGTCCTTGACTCTGCTACAGTCCGTTCTGAACTTGGCTCCCCAATGGGTCATTCTACAGCTCCTTCGCCTTCTCGAACGACGGCGTCTTGAGCCACTTGGGGTGGGCGTTTGGGCATGGGTCTTCTGGCTCGGACTGGCGCTGGTGATGCAAGCGGTAAGTAGCACCCTTGCCTATCGGGGTCCCACCATGTTATGCGCTCTTAGCATGCTGGGTGATCAATCACCGATACGAACGTCTTGATGTTGTATTCAGCCGGTAACACGGGTGTGTATAGTGGGTCGACAGCTTCCTGATATGGCTCTCCTGGGGAGGCTTGGCCATTCCTGTTCGTAGCCAGCTCTCGCAGCTGGTGTTTGAGAAGGCCATGAGACGGAAAGATGTGAAGAGCGGTGGCGGCACCTCGAGACCGTCCAATTTGAACCGGGCCGCTTCGCAAGATGCGCCCACCCCTGTTAAACCGACTGAAGGACCCAGCACGTCCAAGAGAATAGTTACGAACCGGAATTCAGAAGAAGATGAACAGGTTAAAAAGACGAGGCAAAGTACTATGAACCTAATCGGTGTCGATGCCAAGCGGGTAGCAGATTTTTGGTAGGTCAACTATGCGAGGGTATATAGAAGGGCGCGTGCACTTACACGATGTTGTGAACAGCACCACTAACCAATACCTTCCCGGCGCGGTCCTCAAATTGGCGGTATCTCTAACTTTCCTCGTGAAACTCCT